GAAAATGCTTTTATAGCCTTGGGTGGACTTAGGCAGAGCTGGAGGGGCAGGGGGGACTGTGCCCATCAAAGCTAGAACCCACTCCCATGCTTTTTCCTCCTTTCCCTTTTTACCCCCCCCCCCCCCCATGGTCTCTGATGGAGTCAATTCTCCTTGCAAGACAGAAATATAAAGTTTCTCTAGACCATATGTCTCCCTGATGCACTTTGGAGGTTAACAATGACTTTGCTGAAGTTAGTAGCAGTTAATCTTTATGCAAAATGGTACATGCCTATTAGTAAAGGCATCCCTCTCTTTATATAGAACAGTAGTGTGTCACTTAGGGCAACCCAGAAATAGCTGAGATGTCCCTAAACTACTCTGTATTTTGATTCAGAAGCTTTACCTTATTTGAATATCCACAACTAGTTCTATATTTTAGAAATTGTTTTGGAAAAATACGTGTTTGCATTGTATAAAAAGAAAAAAAAATAAGTGTGGCTAAGTGGTCCCTCTTTCAATAAGAGACTGGGTCTTTATCTTTTCTTATAGCTGAGCACTTTATTATCATATGCTTTTAAAAGTGGTTTTTCTGAGGTAAAGATTGTTAAAGAACTTTCTGGCAAGAAAAAAAAAAAAAAAAAACCCAGAAACCTAGAAAGAATTTAATAAATACAAGGACTCTGGGGAGGGAGTTAAATGCTGATGCGTGTGACTTTTTCCTCTCCCTAAAAAATGTAGAGAATGAACTTTCAAATGCAGTGCCTCATTTTTATGTGGTTGTGACCCCAAACCAATCCTTTTAGTGGTTGATGTGGGACATGTTGTTAGCTTTTCCAACAATTTAGGTAGGCTTTTGTTTTTATTGTTGGTCATCGTAAGAATTCCAAGTAATAGAAGATCTCATGGGCAAAATCAGTGTGTTTTTTCCTCTTGTTTGTTAGTTTATAGCAGCTTCCGTTTTCCTCTTATTTTTAAAAGTTGAAATGCCTTTGATCATGCTCGGTGTGCTCCTTATGCATGGAAGCCAGAGAAAAGGTTCCTTTTCCTTTCTCCCATAGCGCCATAATTAGAAATTTGGTTACTGTACTAAATTTTAAGTTTTGGCATTCATATGGAGCCAAATCCATCTGCTGGCGAGACACACTGCCCAGGGCTTTTCAAGAAATCCCTTAATAGTCCTGAACACTAATAACATTTATATACATTGAGAAGAGACAAAATTTACAACAGGCTTCTGGGGCTGGCTCCAGGACTCTCTAATCCCAGACTTCCCTGTGTTCTCCTGCCCACCTCCGGAATCTTCCCAGACGGTGCTTCAGCCCGGGGGAGTGCCAGCCTGCATCTCCAAGCGTGCAACCACACTTACGCAAGGAGTTTGTCCTCTGACAAACAAGTCACCTCTCCTTCTGACCTTCTCTCCTCCCCATCACACCCTATTTGTACTCTCTGCCCAGAGGGTTAGATATGTGTTTGTGTACAGTTTACAACATTAACAGAATATTGGGAACCCCTTGATTTAGGATCCCTTTAAGAGGAGTCGTTCTGTCTATAAAGAAAATGGTTTTACCTAGCTTACGCTTTACTGAGATTCCTTCTGAAGTAGCGCCTGCCACTGAAACAAAGCCCGCTTCCCCAGCCTGAGTGTTAGTTGGTGGGGGTGGGAACTGACTTACCAGGTGGTTCCATTTAACTGACCCCTTTGGGAGGTCTCAATGTGCCACTGCCCAGAGAAGCTGTTTCCAGGGGTTGGGGGGATGGAAATGCAAAACCTCTCTACAGGTACTTCATCAGGTATTTATTATTTGTTCTCTCCTCCTGGAAAAGCTCAGCATTTACATTTGGCTGTAACTGATTACAAGCACATGCATGGAGACATTTTCCTGTTCTTTAAATGCTCTTGAGTTTTTATTACAACATTAGTAGCTATTTGATCTTAATATCTGTTACTTGTCATTTTATATGGCATTTTTTTAAATTGTGAGGAAAAGGGTGTTCTGTAAGTAGATATTGGTCTCAGTAGGTCTCTGACGATGATCATAAGATTCTTAATCGGTTTTCCCTTTCTCGTGCTAACATGTGCTTACACATTGCCTTTGCACGTGCTTACATGTGACTCCAGTTGTGGTGTTCTTTATTCTTTATTATTCTCCTCCTGCTCATCTTTCTGCTTTCACCTCCAGGCTCAGCATCTCTGTGAAACTTTCCCTGGTACCCAGGGGCCCAGGAAACACCATGCACCTCCACTCTCTCTTGTACTTACCTTTTGTGTTGTCTGTTCTGTGAGGACAGAGACTGCCACTGATCCATATGTGCTAGACAGAGTGCACAGGTGCAGCACACACTCAAAAAATGGTTGCCAAATGGATAAGTAAATGAAGGACATATGGATTTATATTCTGATATCAGTTTAAAAACCTGACATCAGGATATGCAATTTCAGTGTTTCATTAGATCTTGAACCTTGAAGTGACTGCCATAATGGATATATTTGGAATTAAACAATTATTTAATCTATTTGATTATTAGATATCTTGAGCGGGAGATTTGATAATAGAATGTGTGTGTGTGTGTGTTTACTGCAAATATACTAGTCTTGAAAATTCAGATTTCTGTTATCCTCTTTATGATAATAACCTTGGTAGACAATATATGAGGGTACTTAAAAATTTTGTGGAAAAATGGAATTAATATAATACAAATCTTTCCATGGACTTTTTGAAGATCCCTCATATATATCCGCACATTTTAGGAGCTCCTACAACCTGTACTCTTCTGGTGTGATCAGAGATAATTAACTTCTTGTTATTTGTTGGGTAGATTAGTTTTTGGAAATAGCCAGAAGTCATTGAGAGACAATTACGGTGAACAAAATAATATAAACCAACAGGAATGGTTTTCTTCTTCACTTACAGATACCTCTGAAGATGTGGCTCAGTTGGGATTAGTTCAGTTGCATATAACAAATAGCAATCACTTAAACAAGTTAAAGTTTATTTCTCTCTCGCCTAAAGAACTCCACAGGTAATAAGTCCAGCGGTAGCCTAGTGACTCCACTGTCATGAGGGACAAGTTCCTTTTATCTTGTTCCACCATTCTTATGTGTAAACCCTGTGGCCCAAGGTGGCTGCTTGAGCTCCATGCATTATTCCTGCATTCCGGCAATCAGGGAGGAGGGGAGGGCCTGCCCTGTCTGTTTTAAGGAGTCTTCCAGGAAGTTAGTCAAAAAGTTTGCTTATATTCATATTTCACTGGCCAGAACTTGAGTAATGTAGCCACTTATAGTTACAAAGGAGGGTGGGAGATGTAATATCTTGCTGGATAGCAATATACCAACTAAAAAGCAGTGTTCTATTACCAAAAAGATAAGACGCATAAATAATGGAAGGCAATCTTTTGTTTCTGCCAAAAGATGATTTAAAAGGAGAAAGTTAGAAAGTTATTTTAAGCTTGACAGTATCATGAGAATTAATCTGTTTTCTTCAGAGATGATGCTATTCATTTGAATGTTTAAGTTCTGATATCTGTTTTTAAATTCACCTGCTGGCAGTGAAATAGGAACTCCTGAACTCAACTAGTGGGTGTGTAGATTGGTATAAACTTTCCAGAGGACAGCTTTACCCAGCAAGATCAATTCTGGAAATTAACTTTAATGAAATAGTAAGGATGTTCATGAAGATCATAGTGCTGATTGTATTAATAAAAAGTTGAGAACAAAGGAAATGTCTACTATAGTTATAACTTATGATATACTCTACAATAGCATATGATGTTGCTGTTAAATGATTGTGGAATTCACAGTCTATTTTGCCAAAAAATGCTTTCAGAATGCCTTGATCCTTTATAGATATTTGTATTTATATATCCAGGCACATGCATAAGAAAGAATCTGGGAGGGTCCACGTGAAGGTATTGATAAAGGGGCCATTTTGGGAAAGTGGATTTATGTGTTCTTTGTATGTTCTCATCTGGGATCTCTAATTTTTTTTTGAGCATGTATTTTTATTATAAGAAAAAGCATGTAATAGAATCTTCACAAAGTATTGCATGTCAGTCTAATATATATATATATATAATTTTGCACTGTTTTCCAACTCAAGGAAAAAATAGGAAATGTATAATGCAAACCAGATTTCATATTTTGTTGATTTATACTTTACTTATGAGTAGGGCTAACAGCCCATAGAGTGTGATCATGACAGCATTGTTATGGAAATAAATGCCAGCTCATCTATTTGGGATGTAAATTGTGGATCTGTGGTTATTAGACACTGCTTTCACTTAACTTTAGCACGGAGGAGCTTGGAGGACATGGTTTCTAATATCCTGTGGTTCCCTGGGCTCAGAACTACTGCTTGCCCACCTACCCCCACCCCACCCATGTTCTTAGACTTGAGAATGACCATCAGACAGGGTGACTTCTTAGTGATCTAATAGGTTAGGGTGTGCAAATAAGTTATTACCATCATTTATTTGGGGTAAAACTTCTCATGTGGTATAAGCAGGCACAAACTTTTCTAAAGCCATTTTTGTAAACCTGAATGGTATCATCTTTATTATATTGTGGTTTAATCATTTTCAAAACAAACGAGCATTTCTGCACACTAAGGCTTTTAAAGAGTTTTCAGTAAGAAATATACTTAAAATGCAGAGTGAGCAGAACATAATGCATACAAAGTACTAAAACCATGGTGTTCACGAAGGACTTCCACATGATCATGTGGGCCTCAGACAACCTTCTCATGTGGGTATGATCACCCCATTTTACAGAGGAGAAAAGAGAGGATCAGGGTCACAGTGCTACTGACTCATCCCAGACCAAACAAGGACTACCTAGGAGAGACTGGACCATAACCTCTCTACTCTCTTCAAGTCTAGTGAGGGATGGAAGGACGGCGATTTTGGGTGGGGGTAGGGAGTTTGTTTTGTCTCCTCAATGAGTGATCTGTGCTGGTGGTGGCAGGGAATGACCCCAAAGGATGCTGCCCAGCCTCACCACTGTCTCTGCTCTGTCCCCACAGTGTGCCCGAGCACGTGCGGGAAGCGGGCGTGCACAGAGAACAACGAGTGCTGCCACTCTGAGTGCCTGGGCAGCTGCAGCACACCCGACAATGACACGGCCTGCGTGGCCTGCCGCCACTACTATCACGCCGGTGCCTGTGTGCCTAGCTGCCCGCCCAACACCTACAGGTTTGAGGGCTGGCGCTGTGTGGACCGCGACTTCTGTGCCAACATCCCCAGTGCCGAGAGCAGCGACTCCGAGGGCTTTGTCATCCACGACGGCGAATGCATGCAGGAGTGCCCCTCGGGCTTCATCCGCAATGGCAGCGAAAGGTCAGTCACGGTCACATTCCCCAGGGAACTGAAAGATTGACGGTCAGTTGTTTCGACTGGGTGGGGCCATGGGGACATTAATGGAGATGAATCCATTTGAGAGGGCTAGCATAACTTAAATTTTTGATGGGATTCTAGGAGCAATTGGAATTTTTTTTGTCCCCAATTCATCATTTTATGTTTAGTTTTAAAAATATACCATTGCCTGGCCATTTGAAATTAAGTACCTGGCTTGCTGGCTCAGGTATCTGGAGTTCACAGTCTCCCTGTACACTTGCTGGGCTGCTGAGAGGCAAGGGACTGTAGTTTTCGGTTTTCCTTGCCTGGGTGCTTCTCAGCACTGGCTGAGTGAAAGCTCTGGGAATGCAGAAGGAAAAACAAGACAAGCTGCCTCCAGGACCTTTGATGCCAGTGGGCAGGCCTGAAACATCTCTTAGTGCATGCTCAGGCCTGGTGCCTGAATTAGCAGCAGCTCAGAGTGAGCAGCAGATTCACGTGAGCTGCGTCTTCCATCGGCCCACCCTTCCTCTCGCCCTCCACCTTCACCCTCCCTTGGGGTCCAGCACTTTTCTTCCTAAACTTTGAGACTTCACTAGGGAAGCAAAGAAGCTCCCTATAACAGATGCCATCCCTCTGTGTACACCAGCTGGACTTCTGTAACTTTGTCATTGGTGTATGTGTTTGAAAATGAGATGCTAGCATTGTTTCAAAATGTAGAGACTGTCACTTTGGAAACAAAAGAAGATTAGAGGTTTGGGGCTCCTGTTCCCTTCCCTGGAGCTGAGCAAAGGACTTGTAGGAAAGTTCTGTTGTGATAATAAGCCAAATATCTCCTTCATGATTAGCGCCTGGTGACCCTTACATTGCTGGGTGTTTTAAAATAAAACTATTCTACAAATATAAAATACTGCTAAAAAAGTATATATTAATTTTGAATATAATGTTTGCTGTAGTCTATTTCCATAAACTACACAAGCCTTTATTAAGGGGGTACTGTTTCTAGTGTAATATTTGGAGATGTTACTCCTATCGTAGGCTTACTTTCAAATCAAAGATAAAACTCACATTCTTTAACAAATTAGACGTAGAGCAGCTTTCTGCTTATTATAATTTCTATAACCATTATAGCAAAATGAAAATATTACTCTAAATACTTTAAAATGATAAATGGGACAAGAACCCTATTGACCCCTAAAGTATACATATTTCACCCAAAATAGATCTACCACATTCTATTTATATTTTATTGGCAGCCTAAAAAGGTAAATAGGCTTTACCAGTACAAACTTCAGGCCCTGGGGCAGTGCCTGGAACAAAGTTGAGGTTCAACCAAATTAAGATATCACCTTCCTCTTGAGAGGGGGTGACTGGTCCATAAACTCTGCACGATACTGTCTTTGTGTTGTGAATACATTTTCTTATGTTATTTAGAGGCATCCAGTCATTCTGCAGCTATCAGAGTAGTGGGTACAGTGGGAACCACACTGTACAGTTGAAGGTGTTGTTTTGTTCACTGCAGTACATTTTTGAAAGAATTGAGCCATTATTTTCCCTACCCATTCTTACAGTCTGTTCATAACTACAGATCTACCTTTACCGTTTTAAAATAAAACACCATAAGAAATAATAAATCCCCCTCTCTCAGCCTTTACTTACTTTAAAATATTTATTTTTTTAATACTGTTTGCACCCTCTCTGTACCAGAATGGATTTGAGGAAGCTTAATATATAAATTTGTAATGAGAACACTTCCTTAGAAAAAACGTTTCTTAAGTACTAGATAGTTTCTAGACATTTTAACAAAGGTGTTTGGTTCAAATATTTCTATTTGAGTAAAAGATGGAAGAAATTAAACATACACTTATATTACAACCCAGCAGCTGCAACCCTAGATATTTATCCCAAAGAAATGAAAATTTATATCCATATAAAAACATGGGCACAGTTGTTCATAGCAGCTTTGTTTGTGATAGCCCCAAACTAGAAACACCTCAGATGTCCTTAGCAGGTAAATGATTAAGCAAACTGTGGTATATCTATGCCATGGAACATTACTCAGCAATAAACAAAAACAACCATTGAAATACACACAACTTGGATGGGTCTCAAGGACATTATTCTGCATGAAAAAAAGCCAGTCTCAAAGGTCACATACTGTATAACTCCATTTATATAGCATTCTCACAATGACAAAATTATAGAAATGGAGAAGAGATTAGTGGTTGCCAGGAATTAGGGATACCGGGGGCTGGGTCAGAGGAAGGGACTATGAACAGGCAGCATGAGGGAGGTCTTTGTGGTGATAGAACGGTTCTGTATCTTGATTACGGTGGGGAGGGGACTGTACAAATCTACACAAGGATACACTGACGCAGAACTACACACACACATTGTGCCAGAGTTTGTTTCCTGGTTTTGATATTACATTATGTAAGATGTGGTAACCATTGGAGGAAGTTTGTCAAAAGGTACATGGGACCTCTGTGTACTATGTTTGCAACTCTCTGTGAACCTATAATTATTTCAAAATAAAAAGTTTTTTTGAAAGGGAAGGTGTGGGGATTATATGCTATGTAGGTAAATTAGAAACAATAAAAGACCAAAAAAAAGTGCTGAAAGGAAGCCACTACCAAGGCTGGAAATGAGCATGTTAAGTGTGGTGTGGGAGGAAGACTTTCCCTGGCCGCCTTCGGTAGGTCCAGTTCTTGGGGATATCTTTGGAAACCTCATCCCCCATTCTCCTGACAGGAAATCAGAAAATACCAGAGAACTTTGGTTACCTATGTACTTTTAAACAAAACCAAACCCTGTATCTTTGCCTTAGGTGTGAAATAAAGTTCCAGAGAGAAAAAAGACTTTAAGAGAAAGAGCTATAACTTATGCTGTTTTTCTTGAATGTTTTTCTTATCTTCACAAAGGTTAAAAGATCATTAAAGAACAATAATGTGAATATAATGGCTCTCCAACTTACCATCCTATTACACACACCTCCCATAAAGCTGTATCATTTATCTTGTTTGGTAATCGACCCAACTTTCTGACCCTTGTTCTTTATATAGCTATAGATCTCAGAGGTTCAGCTGGATTAGCATTTTGTCTGCTGTTTCCTAAACAGTAAGCAGGAAAAGTGCCAGTCTTACTTGTCCCTGACTCTTGGTGGTTTGTGGCATGTTTAAGATAGCATTTGAAATAGGAGTTCATTACAAAGTAATGGAAATTCCTTGTTTTTATTGTGTATGCAGCAAAAACAACATTTGGATCAATTTCCAAGTTTCTGCAAAACGCTGTCAAAAAATAATTTCAGTTGTGCTTTTGCAAGAACATAATGGATCTGTGCTGTACCACATGCCTTTTGGAATTCCTCACTGGGCTTTGCTGAGACACTGACTGCAGGAGTTAAATTCCTGTTAGTGGCAGAGACACTACAGTCCCTTTGTAGTCGCTGTTGACTGTCCCAGCTGCTCCTCTGGGTGCGCAGGCAAGAGCCAGGACATCCGAGAGCAGCTCTGTTCTCCGAAGCCTCCAGAGCTTCCTTTCTGCAAGGAAGTGTCTCCCACATGGAACCAGCTGGCTCACCAGTCAATATCCTATGACATGGTACACACATGCCTCAAGGATGTATCATGTATTTAGTCTGGAAACAAGCATCACGCTTTTCCTTTGTAGGCAATTTCTCCTTTTGGTTGCAATTTGAGGGGCTTATCCCAAGTGGGCATGGGGATGAGATACTGTGTGACTACTTGAATGCTTTTTGTAATGTGTCCTACAACAACAACTGAAAAGCATATGCTAACAATTTTTTAATGCGAGGAGACAGACTCAGTTCTCTGTGTTTTTGGTTGGTTCTTTATCTTCAACAGCATGTACTGCATCCCTTGTGAAGGTCCTTGCCCCAAGGTCTGTGAGGAAGAAAAGAAAACAAAGACCATTGATTCTGTTACTTCTGCTCAAATGCTCCAAGGATGTACCATCTTCAAGGGCAACTTGCTCATTAATATCCGACGAGGCAGTAAGTATTTCATCCCTCTAGAAGAATGGCTGGATCTCTTGGTTTTCTTTTGTTGATGCTTTTTGTGCCTCTGTCCCTGAGTCACAACTAAAATAATGGCTTAGAAAAACAACGTGGTGCGTAAGTCTCATGCATGACGTCTTTCTTTTGAGTTTCCCTCTGAGATAAAAAACAGATTGAAAGGCAATCTGTTTTTTAGCCATTGGCACAACATCTTTCCCTGTAAAGAGGGTCATCCCTCCTCTTTCTGTTACTCACATCTTGCGCAGGAGAGGCAAGTCTTGACACACAAACCCCAGAAGAGATTGTTGGATCAGAGATATGATTCAGCAGATTGCAGCTGTAGCCAAATCCACACATCTTTAGATGCAAAGAATTTTGGTTACTTGGTTATATTGAAGAGATTGAGCAAAGGGAAGGGTTTAATCATGTTAAAATTGTATTAAGTCCAAAAGAGTGGTAGATCTCCAAATTTATTTCTGAGAGCCAAAAAGATACAAGTGTGTGTCATCATGTTCATAAAGCTTTGGTCTTACCCCTGTAGAATCACCTTTGTTTGCAGTAGATGGCATTCGTGGTAACTTGCTTCTAAATTGCATATGTGCAAAGCGTTTCGCATTGACTTATTCTGTGATCTTTTCACCTCTGATTTTTAATTGGCAAGGGCCTCTAGTAATGGTGCCTTAAGTTCTCTACAACTGGGACCACTTGGTCAAGGTCCTGATAGTTTTATAAACTAAATAAATATACTAAGAAAACCTTGGAGTTGAAAGGAATTTTTTTTTCCTTTTGTAAATCATTTTGTGAAGAATTTTTTTAAGTTTGAGGGGGAAAATGACTAATGTATTTATTCTGTGAATTTATTTTTCCTTAATATTTGCTAAATGATTGAAATGTATTCTTATGGTTTAGAGATGGCAGAAATGAGTTTTTGCTTCGTTCTTTTGAATTTTTTGATAGCCCTTTTTTTTCACGAGATACCCCGTACCCCTCCACAGTGGAGATAATTCTGTTCCCCACAGACAGAACTTTCTTACCCTCATGGTACTTCTCAAGTTTTATTCTTTTTGCTCTTACTGCATTTCTTCATTTACTCATCCCTAGAAGATACCTTTTAAGTACCTAAACTGTCTTTTTTTAAAAATTTTTTCCTATCTTGAAGATAAAAATTTAATACATGAAGAAGTTATGATTGGAGAAGCAATTGGTAATATTCATACATGATGGTAAAATATGTCCTCCAGTTTATATCCAGTGCAGGGAATGGGTTGGATTTAGGGTGATAGGACATCTCATTGGAAAGGAGATTTCCCAGCCTTGCTCCGCATTTAAATTCAGGATATCTTCCTTAAACCATCAACTGTAAGAAACCTTATCCTTCAGGAAAGTACCCTTATTTTTTTATTTTTATCAATTCAAAGCAAAATAGAACCTTTTATTAAATAAGTCTTCATAAATCATACCCAGTAAAATCCCATTAATTGAACCACACCCAATTCATTATAGTCTTTATTATAATTTTTGCCAAAGCAGAACTGAAGTTTACGTTTCTTATTTACCATGAGAAAAAAGGTAGGCTAAACAAGATGAAAGGAAACCCATCATTTATATATCGTATTGTTTTTACATCTGTATTAGCAACTGCTTTTCCAGCTATTTTCTAATTATGAAAGTATTACGTGAGCGTTATAGAAAACTTAGAAGTGCAGAAGTGAATTTTTTAAAAATCAAGTGCAGATAGCCATTGTTAATGTTTTGGAATACCGTATTATCATCCAGTCTTAGTAAGAACGGATCTTTAAATATAGATCCCTGTATCTTAGGAACTAGAAACGCAGCAAAGGCAGTTCTTAATGAGACCGAGAAAATGTTGTTTATTTAATAGTTGTGCCCTTGCGCAGTGGAGGCAGGACTGTTGACAGAGCATATTAAAAGACGTTCCCCAGATCTGTCAGCCTTAGCTAATTGGCAGTCTGGTATTTATGATTTTACATTCTGTTAATCAGCTTGGGAGCTGCAGTACCTAGCCTCCCAGAAACTTGCCTTCCCCTGCCTCGGAGGCCTCATCCTGGGGGCGGTTGTCGAAAGTCAAGGCTAGGGAAGTGTGTTTTTGCCAGGGCCTGAGCATCTTGGTGAGCACCTACCATTGAATTGTTCTCTACATGTTTGTAAGAATCTGAGTATGTCACCCTTACACCAAGTGAGCACTTAAGTGACACAGCCCCCTTTTACCGTAGATAACATTGCCTCGGAACTGGAGAACTTCATGGGACTTATTGAGGTGGTGACGGGCTACGTGAAGATCCGCCATTCCCACGCCTTGGTTTCCTTGTCCTTCCTAAAAAACCTTCGCCAGATCTTAGGAGAGGAGCAACTGGAAGGGTGAGTGCTCCAACTTCCATGAGCTGACATCCTCCTATTACAAAATAAGTAGAGTTTTACAAGAGCAGTACTTACGAAGGTAAGAGCCCTTCCTATTAAACAGAAGAAAGGGAGAAGCCACAGTATTGCCCAGGTTGCCTGGGTGATGGCCTGTCTCCCTGATAGGATCTTGTATAGAGTCATGATTCTCCATCCTTAGGACACTGTTGTTTTGGAAAACAAGAGATGTTTTCATTCTTACTGGGTTGTGACTCATCAGTCAAGGGTTACGTGTCTGATGGTGGCCAGTGAGGCAGCAGACAGGGATGCCCTTGGGAGCTCTTTCTTCCAGGAGTGACAACAGTCAGTCTAAAGTGCTTACCTTCCAGTGAAACCATCATTTATGTAAAATCTATCCCATCTTTTAAAATACGGACTGTTCATTTTGTTATAAAGAGATCCCGATTCACAAAATTGTTTTTATTGATTGGTTTATAGGATTTGCACTGTAGATCGAATTTTTGCCTTCACAGAGATGTGCTGTGTGATAGGGGTTTTAAAATGAGCATGAGCTTTTCATTGGGGGATACACACTGGTGCTCGTTGCGTACACAGTTTCATACCAGCCGCTAGCGTGTGTGCACCTTTGCATATGAAGTTTTCACATTCCTCCTTTTGAAATATAGTTCTTGCCTGGCTTTAAGCTAATGCTTTGAAAGTAAAGGAGTCATCAATTAAGGAGTGAATTCCTTCCAAAGAGAATTTGGGAAAATAATTTAGGAAAAAAAGAGGTGGGAAGGTCATGGGAAAGGTTATCCTTGCTGATTTATCTGCCCAAACTGGATAAAGTTACCGCATAAGGGTTTCTTTACAACCTCCCTGTTTTTCTCAGACTAACTCTTGCTCAGTCTTAAATTCTTAAAATTCCATCATCTGATATAGCTAAAGAGAGAGGGCAGCTCTTCATTCCATCCTTGAAAAGCACACTGTCCTCCACACTGGGAACACTGATTCTTTAGAAAAACTTCTTTCACATTGCGAATGCAAGGGAGCTGCCTCTGTGCCCTAGCCCAGAGTGTCCCAGGAACTTATGTGGCAAGGTGGAGCCCTGCCAATTTGAGGTGATGGTTATTGTTTGCTGTATTAAATTTTAAAATGGGGTTTGGCTCCCCATACCAGGCAAGCTGCAAAACAAAAACAAAAATCAACAAATTTTAAAATGAATTATAGCTCAGGTGTTTTTTGGTTTCTGATGTTTTTTTCCTACTAGATTTGTGTTTCTGGAATTCCTGGTGTTGGTAAACACTTTTTCTTTGGATTGGTAACTGTCAAATTTTCCTGCTGCTTAAGAATACACTTTTTTTTCTTTTTTCAAACTGAGAAAGTGATAGACATAAAAGCGAAAGCTAGAAGAGCTTAACTTTTATTAGGAATTATTGCATGTTATCTTTTCATTGTGTGTCAACTAAAAGTATATTCACTTCAATGTAGCTGAAAATTAAAACCTGATTTTTATTTGCAAAAGTATTGATGATGTGTTTCTCATTATCTGAAACTTGTATAAAACCTTAAGTATCAGTGGGGTCTTTTTAAGGATGCTCACATGTTTGTGAGGCTTCCCAGGTAAGCTCCGGGCCCCTGCCTTTCTGTTAGCATTTCAGATGGGAGGGGAGGGCAAGTGGGTCAGGGGTTTTCCCATCCTGCTGCTGCTCAGTAGCCCATGTAGCCCTGAAGATGCTGGCTTTCCACCCTTTTATTCCTGCGTGCTCCTCCTCGGTTGTCTCTTTAGCTCTCTCCTGCTTGTGATGAACTCTCTAAGAGCTCTGTTTGTTTCGGGTATGACCAGTAGCAACAGCTCAACTCTTTATTTCTCCTCCTTAGGCTTTAGAGGCAGAGTTAGGTCCAGCCCGTTCACCTGCTGCTCTCACAAGAAAGGAAGAGTCAGAGGGAGGAAGAAAAGAAAGGAATATGATAAACAGATATATGTCAACAGTGCAAAGCAGAACTTGCAGAGTGCTACAAGGGAAAGAAAGGAATGTGTCCTGGGCATGAAAAAGAGTCAGATATCTGATTGAGAGGATCAGACAGGCTTCTGAGAAGAGGTGGCATTTGAGAAGGGCCTTGAAGGGTTTCCAGAAACACTCAGAAAGCAGAGAGTAAAGAAAGGCAATTTAGGGAAAGGTGGCAGGAACAAAGGCAGCGCATGTTGGGGCATCCTGGGCCTGTTTGGCAAATCATACTAGAGAAGTAGGTGGTACTAGAATTACATCAGATGTTTTGTACCTAGGTGTAGAGGTTATAATTTAGGTAGGCCATATAACATATTCAAGGCTTTTGAGTAGAGTAATGTTAACAGGGATGTCTGAAATTTTAATTTCAGTGTGCTGTTGGTTTAAGCCAAGATAACTTTTGTCCCAGTGTTTCCCAAAGTTTGCTGCACTAGAATCACATGGGTGGGAGGCTTTTAAGAAATCCTGATGCCCAAGTTGCACCCCATTCCAATTCAATGAGAATGCTTGGGGAGGATTCAGGCATTAGTGCTTTTCTAGAGATTCCTAGGTATTTTCATTATGCAGCAAAGATTGGAAACCACTGCTTTATCCTTTTATTTCTTCTCATACGCATATCCCCAAGTCACTTTAATGTTTTTTCCCTAAATATTTTCTGGTCACACTGCTGCTTTAAGATACTATTTTTTTTTGAACCTCTCTTATTGCCAATGAGAACATAAGTGTTTCTGTTTGCTTCAATAGGAGGAAAGTTCTGTAGCCTTTTGTTTAGATGGAGAGCAGAATAAGTCAAAGTACAGGATCCTTCAAATCTGATGCCCTGGACTTTCCAACATGTCACTGAGATCCCTCTCCAAAAGTCTCCTGAGAGTCCAGAACAGGAAATTCAAGCATTTTACCTAGAGTAGAGCTCTTTAGTCCTCACTCAGAACCTAACTTTTATATCACACTCAGTGTAAGCTGATTTTGTAATCTGATTTGCAGGCTGTTGACATATAAACAGAATCATATCAGAACAGAAAGCAGGGTTGTCACTCACTGAAGAACAGAGCCCAGGCAGTATCAGGTAGCTGTCAGTTTCTTCAGAAGAGCTCTGACAGCCAGAAGGACATCCCTTGCTCTGTATAGTGTAATAAGTTTCTAGAGTAATAACCTTACACATTAAGAAAATTAAGGGTCTGCTGTTCACAAAGGAAATGGATTTTGTAATGCACGTTTACAAGATTACTATAAAATGACTAACTTTTAAGCCCTTGAGAAAGAGAGAGATTATCCTCTCATCTGAAAAATTCCTTTATTTGGGCAATCTTATTTTTCTGATAGCATTAGATAACTAAGGAGTTAACATTTCAAATTCTTTGGTGCTACCAAGTATTGTTGCCCTGAAAAGAATAAAAATAGGTGTAGGTGGTAGGTTATAAGAATTGCAGTTCTTGGGTGCATTTAGCACCTCTATGCTCATGTCCCCACCGTTTGACTTTGTAACACACAGTGCTTCATGCTACCCTCTTGCAGCTCTAAGACCAGGCTGAAACATGGCTTCACTTTAATACTTCCCTGGGACTTTAAAAAAATATACACTCAACCATGTGACCCAGCAATTCCAGGATCTATCCAGTATCTACTCAAGAGAAATGAGAGCATGTCCATGCAAGACTTGTATTTGAATGCTCATAGCAGTATTATTTATAATACCTCTCCCCCCAAGATAAAAGCCTGGTGAAATGATCCAAATGTTCATCAACAGACGAATGGATAAACAAAATGTTACACAATGGAATACTACTTAGCAATAAAAAGGAATACATGTCAAACATGGGTGATCCTTAAAAATATTAGTTAAGTGGGGGAAAAGAAAGCCAAACACAAAAGGCTACATATTATGTGATTCTATTAATATGTAATTTCTAGAGAGAGCAAACCTATAGAGACAGAAAGCAGATCAGTGATAGCTGGGGGTGGGAGTGAAGATTGACCACAAAACAGGAATGAAGGAACTTTTAGGTGATGGAAATGTACTGAAACTGGGTAAAGGTGATGGTTGACATACCGAAGCCCATGGAACCGCACACTTATGATGGGTGAATTTTTTGGTAGGTAAATTATACTTCCGTAAAGCTATTTAAAAAAAAAAAAAACCCTCAGAAAACAAAGAGGAAATGTTTTCTTAGTATCTGGGTGAAGCCTGTTTCCACGTGGTTATACATTCTCACCCTTGCTGAGTGAGCCCCCAAGGTTGGTGTAAATGTTGGATTTGTGGGAGATTTGGACGTGGTATAAACCAGCCGGTTTGCAGATGGGATGAAGGGAGTGTCTGTGAAAAGACCAACTCCTGTACCAGTTGCAGATTGCTCGGTTGCTGACAACAGCGTCAGTGTGTTGGGTTCTGATGCCCCCTAGAGACAGCCCTAAAAAGGCAGCAGCTTCTCCTCTAAGAAAGCTGCAGAGATTGGTTGCACATTTGCGCATTTTTTTCCAATATGTCAGCAAGGGCTGAAAAGTGGGAATGTCCCTTCCTATCTCCGTAGTCTGGAGACCTTGGGCTCAGCCCTATTTGTCAAGGCACAGGACTTTCCTGTACTCTGAGACTTTGTTCTAGGGACTTTGACACTTCAGAGAGCAAAACAGGTCATCCCCATACCTTTGTGAGGTGATTCAAAGCTCACAATATCCTTTTATATTTAGCTCATCTGATTCTTCCAGCTGGCTTCACGGCCAGAAGAGAGGGGAAGACACCTCCATCTGTAGCTGAGAAACTCCAGCCTGGGAGAAGCTGAATAAATGCTTTGCCCAGAGCTGTTACTTAGTAAGTGTGGAATTGAGGCTCAGACCTGATCTTTGGACTCCCAAATGGAATGCTGTAAACCCTGTACCTGGGGCTGTCTTCTATCACTCAAATCCCCAGTAATTGCTCCCCACCCTTCCTGCCTTGGGGCAGGTAGCCACAAATAAAAGAGGTAAATGTGTGTTATGGGCTGGGCATTTAGAATATGGACACAGGTAACATACAGATGCCCTCAAGAAGATAACCAGCCATTCCCAAGCTGCTCTAGTTGGTTTACATATTGGCAGATGGGCCAATCCAAGTATAGAAGCAAACATTTTTTGTAACATTGAGAATGCTGACAGTCAGGATACCAGTATCAATAAAACCTGGGCATCATGGAGCCTGTGGGTGCTTAATAAAAATACACAAATCACTTAATTTTTAAAAATATTCTTCAAATGTAGAGGCAGTGAGCTTAGCAACAATTAGAAAACCACTTTTACTGAGTAATTTCCTTTAGTAGCCATTTCCTTTAGGAAACAATGAAAAGTTAAGTGTGCATATTTTGAAGATTTGCACGCAGGTCTCTGCCTTCTGCCATCTCTTAATTCTCATCTAATCATGGAAGGGATTTGTGGGGAGCTGGGTCCAAGCTTGGGGTGGGAGAAAGAAGAGCAGTGTTGACAGGCAGCTCATGAATGGCTTAATTATTATTTTGACGAGGGTTTTATTTTTATTTTTCTTCAGCTTCCAAGGCTCCATAATACTTGGGTTTTATTGATGTTATGATGTCTTAATGTTATAAAAAATGTTTGTGTTTACAGTACAAAGATAATCCTGCTTTTCAAAGTGATTAATCAAATACACAGAATTTCAGCGTACCTGCCATTCATTTGTCAGATTCCTGATTTATAATTCGTGCTTCCTCCTCTGGGGAGAAGAAGGTTTTGTTCAGGAGGTATTTTCAGTGTGGTTTATTCCCTGGTAGTGAAATTAGTTTACAAAAAGAGGCCTCATCCTGGATTGAGATGGAAGTTGACCTGATAAATTGGCTCTTATTCCCAGCCTGCAGGTTTTTTTCACCAAGGAGATTTTGTCCCATGAAGCTAACCTGGCCATGTCCCAGTATTCCCCCCCACCCCCCACTCCCCAACACACTGCCTTATGTTGCATATACTGCATCTGGGATCATTTGGACAATGTTTTATGTTCCTTTTCCAGGATATATATGTGTTAGGGAGTGAGCTGTCACTGAAGGGAAAGGATTGTTGATTTGCAAGTTTTTGCCACTGATTTGGTGGCCACTAATGTGTCCAGAGGCCTAAAGATGGGTTTGTGAGAAGCCTGGCTTGGTTTCAGAGGTGCTGTCTTTGGACTTTCAGTTTACTGAATACCTGTGTGGCAGGACTCCCACCCCCCACTCCCTAAGCACATGTGTGGACAGAGGGCCCAGTGCTGGGGAGGTCTTAGGCTTCAGGCTGGCAGGGCAGATTTCAGCTCAGCTCTGCGAGTTCTACTGGGCATTCAAACTCTTCCAGACAGTGGGGAGCTTAGATGTCTGGTTTGGTGGGCTTTGGACCCCAGCACCCCACTGGAACTAACTCTATTAGACCAGCAGTTCTCCTGCTGTGGTCCTGGTCCCACAGCAGCGTCAGCACCACTTGGCAGTTGTGGAAAATGCATATTCTTGGCCCAGCACTCTGCAAACATGTTCTGTGCATACCGAACTTGAAGAACTGCTGTGTCAGACACTGAGTCCTGTTGCCTGGATGAGAGGCTGGGAGGACTGCTCATCAGAGGCCATTTTTCCTCCTCCACACCTCCTGCAGTGACTAGAGCTGGAGCTTCTCAGGGTGAAAGATGAGTCTGGAGGAGGGAGAAGGCTCAGGGCTGGTCCACCCTGGGTCTGTGTCCCTGTCCCATGCTGTTTCCTATCCCATCAGTCACTGCTGATTGGGCACGGGTAGGATTTCCTCCCAAGGATAATGGGAGACTTTGCAGCAAGTATGTAAGCTGTTCCAGTTGTGTGGCAGAGCATATCTGTTCTCCCATGGATGGATTTCAAGCCTATTGTATATCCTTGGCTCTGAGAAAAATAACCAAAGGCATTTCTAGGGAATGATGTGAGTAACATCCTGTGGTGTGGGGAGCATTATTTGTTGGTAATAGAGGTCATAAAATTAATTAGTATTGCATCAATTTCAATGTTTTCCTTGAATCACATTGTTGCCTTTGATAACAGTGACTATCCTTATATAGCATAATAAGTAAATCTCTTACTGGCTAAGGAAATGTATTATGGAACCATGTTGCAAAGAAGACCTGTGCTGGGTGGCCAGCATGCCAGAGGTGGACTGTGGACAAGGGCAGGTGTACTAATGTGTTTTCTGTGCTTCTAGGAATTATTCCTTCTATGTCCTTGACAACCAGAACTTGCAGCAGCTGTGGGACTGGGACCACCACAACCTGACCATCAAAGCTGGGAAAATGTACTTTGCTTTCAATCCCAAATTGTGTGTTTCCGAAATTTACCGCATGGAGGAAGTGACGGGGACTAAAGGGCGCCAGAGCAAAGGGGACATCAACACCAGGAATAATGGAGAAAGAGCCTCCTGTGAGTGACACTTTCAACCCATGTGGACCCAGCAGTCACTAGCCCACCTGAACTAGCACTTTGCTCCTGCATATGTCTTCAAGGTCAACAGTGGGCAGATCTATGATATATTCGGGAACATCTGTGTGAGTGTGTTAAACACTTAGAAAGAGGAGTTACAGAATGCACAGAGTTAAATGACTTTTTAAACATAGGCACACAGATTGCTTTTCAAAGAGCCAGTTCGCTGCAGCCCATGAGTTCACAAGCTCCACCCTCACCCTCCCACAGAATGGAGGTGGGAGGGGCGCAGCTACGAGCTAGGCCCCTGGTTCCCTGTCCCCCATGCTTAGCCCCCTCTTTTTCCCCACCACAACGTGAGAAAGATGGAGTGAGCCTGCATCCCTGAGATGATTTGCTTTTTAAATTTAGAACAGTAGAATTATAACCTTGCACTAGTTATCCAGCTTTTACTTAAAGTTCTCATGTCAGAGCTGTAACAGTGCACTTCTCCTTTTTTTTTTTTTTGTCTTTTTTCGTGTCCGGCAACGGATCGCAACCCTCAGTGTCGCGCCCGTACCGGGACCGGCAGCGGGATCGCAAACCTTGGTGCTGCGCCCGCACCTCGCTCAGCCAGTGAGCGGGAACCGGTCTGTATGTGGGATCCGAACCCTCGGCGGGAGCGCCTCTGCGCTCCCAAGCGGCGCACTGTAGCAGTGCACCACCGGGCCGGCCCAACAGTGCACTTCTCTATCCCCACATAGAAAACAACTTTTGAAAATGTTGTGACTCTGTTTGGCTGGATGTGGTTATAAAAGTAAATTCTCTCTTCACCTTTGGCTTTTAATAAGGGAAGGGTATTAGAAAAAAAAGTCATTTATACTCACATAGTCGAGGTGGTTTTGTGCTCACGTATGCACACAAAGACACACAGGGAGGCAAGTCTGTGAAATGATTAGCATTTAGCTTTGGCTTCTTTTACTGGTGTCCAGATTTACCGGTAGATGCTCAGATTGCTCTGGAGGAGTTTTAGAGGAAGAGACCCACCCTGGAGCAGGAGAGTGCATTATGGCCAGCACCTTCTCCCACCCCCTGCCTGCCTTGCTGCCCTTCAGACCGTAGCAAAAGCAGATGTATCAGAGCTTTTTTAAAGTATGTTTCTCCTTAGGGTCAGCCAGCCTGAACTGTCAGGTCATGACTACGGGAGCTGTTTATTTTCCTGTTAAAACAAGTCATGGTTTTCTCTCTAAATAACATTTCAGCAGGAACTACAACGTTTTCCTGATCTCAGTCAAGTATACTTTTCCCAAAAGACTTCTTAGTTTTTTCTGCTTTCAGTCTCTCTGCTGCATCTCCTGAGTGTGCAGAGGGATTCAGGCAAATACAGCGGGGGAAGTACAATGTGTCAGACAGCTTCAGGTGTCCACGAGGGTAGGCAGTCATCAGTCCTTCCCTGGTTGTCATCATAGTTTGAATCTGGTCCAGAGAACAAGATGGGGCTGAGGGCAGCTTGCCTGTCCTACCTCGCCAGCCACAGCTTCCCTCCTGTGGAGCACAGAGGGCATGGCTGAGATTGTTCTCGTCTGGACCTAATCTAGTCCCTGTTGTTTGTAAGCATTATCTGGAGGCCTCAAAGGAGTTCCTGTGTCCTTCCACTTAGATACCAAGTTTAGACTAAGAAAACACAGGTTCATGTTCAAATCCCTGGGCAAGTAGCCAGTGCAACTGACTGAACTAAAACAAGGGAATGAACCCCTTGGAGCACCACACAGTGAAATGTGTGGGTTCTTGGTGGAAAATAAGAAAGCTAACTCGGAAGTCCAAAAGGAGACTTAGCATGGACAGCCAGCTTCGGGGAGGAGGGAAATCATGCCAAGACAGGTGCTTTTCAGAGACATGTGGATCTCTGTCACTCATGGATGTTCCTCTGTGCCCCAGGTGAAAGTGACGTCCTGCACTTCACCTCCACCACCACGTGGAAGAATCGCATTATCATAACCTGGCACCGATACCGGCCCCCTGACTACAGGGATCTCATCAGCTTCACCGTTTACTACAAGGAAGCGTGAGTTTCTGCATTAAGTGGTGTCGTTCTGTTGACAGGGCTGTGAATGGGCAAGGCCAGTCTGTTGGTCATTGTGTGTGTCAGATGAATTCAGGGAGCCAACAGAGTTCCCAGGGAGAGCCATGCTGAGCATCCCTGCTTCATCCTCACATGACGTCCATCACAGCCAGGGACAGCCACAAATGGGAAAGTGTTAGCTTTTGAAGCCTTTCATTCTGTAGTGGGTAATTAGAGATGTTTGAACAAAATAAGCCTAAATGAGGAGAGGATTAGATCAGTCCAAACTATCAAAAACTGTGATTGGACACTTGGTAGAAACACTGTTTCAACCTTCGTGCGCACTAGCCCTAGTCCAGGAATTCCCTGGAGGATACATGGCTTTCTTGGGTGACCCTGGACTAATGCATCATCTCATTCCCATCACTCTACCCAGGGAGCCATCCCAAGGTGTGGCTCTCTGCTCTAGGTCATGAACCCTCCAGACAAGGTAAAGAGAATGCAGAGAGGCCAACCTTCATGTCTCCAACCTTCTGACTTCTCTCAAAGTCTCCTGGGAGCTTTCTTGTGCCAGCAAATGACGTTCACCTGCCTACGCAGCCATGAATTAATCTTTCAGACTATAGCCCTTGTGGGTCTCCTTCTTCCTTCCTTTGCCTCCTGTATCCAGGTGGTTCCCTCAGTCCATGTGTCATTTCCCTTACCCAGGTCCCATGTTAATTCCATAGGTCTCTTTCCCAGGTGCTTGGCTTCCCCAGAGCAGGAACCACACGCATCAGTGGCAGCAACTGGTACCCTTTCTCCCAGCCAGGGTCCTGGGAATGTTTGTAGCCAATGAGAAACGGGAAGCTCAAGATTACTAGGCGTTTGGTGTTTGCATATATGGGAGTCCCTAGTGATCCGCCATCAGGACAGCAGGCAGAGTTATATTAATGTTTGTTTCAGAAGCCAGTGGCCAGCGGCTGTCCAGCCCTTTCATCTGATAAGTATAGAATCCCTACCCAACCATGCCTCTGTGCAAAAAGCTATACTCTTCAATTGTCCTGTCAATACTTTGGCAATGTCTGCTGCTGATTTCACTGAGCAGTTGATGCTAGTTTCTGTAATAATCTGAAAACTAAATATTTTAATATTATAAGATAATTAAGCTTCAGAATTGTTTGTGAGCAATTTATATCTTAGAACTTCTGTTTTTCTGTAGGAAAGTCATTTTTCTTTGAGTTATTTTTTTAAATCAATATCTGATATTTGTATTAAATGACTGCTTGTTTTAACTTAATCGTAAAAAAAAAATGCAGTCAAAAGAGAGAAAAATAGCATCTGCATATATTCTTAATGAACAGCATTTTGAATCCCAGTAAGTATAGAACTGAGTCTTCTGAGGCAGAGTATTCAATTGTGTAGTGCATAACTGGTGAAACCCAGAGTTCAATTGCTTAATTTTATTCTTCTGCAAAAATCTAATTGCTTATTTGTTTTATTTAGAATTCCCTTTATAGAAAATGTGACATGCTAGGCCCCTGGGGCAAGTATTTGAGAACTTTGATGTCAGAGCCCTAAAACTTTTGTCTTTCAGACCCTTTAAAAATGTCACAGAGTATGATGGACAGGATGCCTGTGGCTCCAACAGCTGGAACATGGTGGATGTGGACCTCCCTTCCAACAAGGATATAGAACCTGGCATTCTCCTGCACGGGCTGAAGCCCTGGACTCAGTATGCCATTTACGTCAAGGCTGTGACCCTCACTATGGTGGAGAACGACCATATCCATGGGGCCAAGAGTGAAATCTTGTACATTCGCACCAATGCTTCAGGTATCCATGCACCAGACAAGCCCCCAACACCCCCTGCCTCTTCATGAACTTGCTGTACTTGCTTATATGAGGTGTAGTTGTAGGGCTGGCAGTGAGATATGCCTGTTGTCTTTCTCGTCAATACATAATACTGTATTGTGTTCTTTTGCCTACTTGTAACACTTTAAGCATTTCTGTGCCATTTCTAGACTGGGAACCATCTTCCGTCATATCTCTGTGGCCTGTGCTGATGAGCCCAGGTCCTCCTGGGTGGTGGGTTGGTTTCCTTGGAAGGACTCTGTGCTACAGAGAATAACGTGGCCCTCTGCATCTGCTTTTTTGTGACACCTGTCACTGAAATATCTAGGAATAAGCTGTTTGTTTTTGAAATGCTTATTTTTGGAAACCCTAAAGTGGCCGAGCATCAAGTGGTTATATTTTCTCTGGGAAAGCTACCATTTATCATAACTTTTTCCCAAAGTATCACCCTTAGAGATGTTCAGAACCTTCTCTGTGTGTATCACATACACTAAGGCACCCTCAAACTATTCACCACTTTCAAATTTTAAAAATGGCTTGGGTGAACATGTTGCTTAAGTGACATACAGTGAAGGTATGTCTTGTACTTTGGAAAAACTGTCAAAATTGGTGCTTTTTTGTGAACCCAGTGAGAAGAAGATTTCAGTGGTCCTGAGATGCATTTGCCCTTTATACCCAAGTCAGCTATGGGCTTGAGGGTCAGTAGTAAGTAAAGCTTGATCAAATTATTATGACTTGTCTTTAAGTCAATATTCGTTTTGCTTGTAATAGAGCACCTTGCTTGAAATCAGGACTTATGTGTATTGGCATTTTTAGACAGCTTTTCAGAGTCAGGTCTCAGTCGTTGCACTGGAGCATGGTTGTAGAACTGGTGGACTTCGTGCTCCGTGCATTGCCATTTCCTCCGATCCCTCTTGTACACGTGTATGCACACACGCACTCTCACACTCTCACACACACACATGATCTACAGCCTCTTTGCTACTTCCCCCTTTCATTTTGGCTTCTTGCCATTTTAATCGGAGATTGAGCATCTGTTGTGAAACTCAAATCAGTCAATTTTATTATTTATTAAAGCTGCTAGAGTTAAATGCTTTGGAGAATGGCAGTTGGAATAAATGAGAAAAATCAGGTGTTTGAATTAGCTGCAGATTTTATGTCGTCTCTTCTAACCCTGGTTGTGCCCCCACAGCCTTTTTCCATTTGCAACTCAGTCATGTTTGTTCTCACAGAGATTAGCTGGGAATAAATATTATAAAAGGAAATGCTGGCATTTAAATTAATACTATTTCAAAACAGGGTTCAGTTCTCACTTTATGTCTCATTGTTCATTGCTATTTTCTTATCCAGGTCAAGCTTGCAGCTTCCTGCTGGTTTGTGTTGAGAATCTGATAGCCTGGATCTTAGGTTTGTTCCATTTTCCGAAATGGGCTTTGTTCCCCTTTCCAGTTCCTTCCATTCCCCTGGACGTTCTTTCTGCGTCAAACTCCTCTTCTCAGTTAATTGTGAAGTGGAACCCCCCCTCTCTGCCCAACGGTAACCTGAGCTATTACATCGTGAGATGGCAGCAGCAGCCTCAGGATGGCTACCTTTACCGGCACAATTACTGCTCTAAAGGTAAGGGTGCAGGCAGCTGCCTGGGTGAAGGTGCACCATTCATTCCTGTTGTGTGAACGGATCCATGCCCTGAGATTACATGTCAGGGCCTTTTGTTGGAAACCAGCTACCTTCTTGACTAAAGGTGCTCACAGCTGTTACTCACAAGCATGTACAAGTTGGCTTTCATTCCCACTCTCATTTTGGCTTCTCTTTTTCCGAGAAGACAAAATCCCCATCAGGAAGTACGCTGATGGCACCATTGACATCGAAGAGGTGACAGAGAATCCCAAGACTGAAGTGTGTGGTGGAGAGAAAGGGCCTTGTTGCGCTTGCCCCAAAACCGAAGCCGAGAAGCAGGCGGAGAAAGAGGAGGCTGAGTACCGCAAAGTCTTCGAGAATTTCCTGCACAACTCCATCTTCGTGCCCAGGTACCAGTAGCATTTGAAAATGTCTCTGGGCTGGTGCTGCTCAGTTAGGCTCTGTTGCTTTTCTCACCACTGGGTAGTTTGTAGGTCAACGGCTATAGGGCATGACACAGCAGCCATTGAGAGGGAGTAATAAGAGATGATCCAGTGGTGTTCCTGTGGAAGCCAGCCAGCCCTGCAGGGAAGGGGGACAGGGCTTATATTGTGGGGGCTGCCGGTGTGATGTGTGCTGCTGTCCCCGGCTGCACAACCTCCTGAAGAGAGCAGAGGGTCTCCCATCACACAGATGGGGAGATGAAGCTCAGGGAGTTGAAATCACCTGCCCGCACTCATGCAGACCAATGAGAGGAAAGGCCAGGATTGGGGCCCATCCCTTCCCTCCCCACTTCTGCCTCTTGCAGCCTGGCAGAGGAGGAGTGAAGTGAGAGGGGAAACATCTACAAGGAGATTAGGGGAGCATTGTAGAAGACAGCTTTTCAAAGTGAGCCATCCCATGCCTCAAAGATTCTGTCCACTCCTGTGCATCAGCCTCAGTTTCTGCTAAGTGAGCAAAAGTGGAGGAAAGTAAGTGCTCATAGCAGCACTATTCATAGTAGCCCAAAGCTGGAAACAACCCAGGTGTCCATCAGCAGGTGAAAGGATAAGAAAATGTGGTATAGCCAGACAGTGGAATAGTATTCAGCCGTAAAGAGGAAGGAAATTGTGATCCATGCTACAATGTGGATGAACTTTGCAAGCTCCATTCCAAGTAAAACAAGGCCAGACACAAAAGGACGAATATTGTATGATTCCATGTATATGAAATATATAGGATAGGCAAATTCCTAGTGACAGAAATTAGATTGGAGTTTACCAGGGGCTTGGAGTGGGGTGGCAAGATGAATGGGGAATTATTCTGTAATGGGTAGAACTTCTGTTTGGGCTGATGAAAATTTTTGGAAATGGATACTGACGATGGTTGCACAACATTGCGTGTGCAGTTAATGCCACTAAATTGTACACTTAAAAATGATTAAAATGGTAAAATTTTGGTATATATGTTTTTATTTTAAAATTTTACTTTACCACCATAAAAAACAGGAAACAAAATAGTTAAAAAAAAAAAAATCGGGGCCGGCCCGGTGGCGCACTGCTACAGTGCGCCGCTTGGGAAGCGCAGTGGCGCTCCCGACGAGGGTTCGGATCCCACATACAGACCGGTTCCCGCTCACTGGCTGAGCGAGGTGTGGGTGCAACACCGAGGGTTGCGATCCCGTTGCCGGTCCCGGTCTGGTACGGGCGCGACACTGAGGGTTGCGATCCGTTGCCGGACACGAAAAAAAAAAGACAAAAAGGAGGGAAAAAAAAAATAGTTAAAAAAAAAAAGAGAGAGAGAGTAGGAAAATTCAGTAGAGTAGCCTGGTAATGTCTGAGAAGGGATATAGAAGCAGAATGGTGGTCCATGGCTCCCTTTTCTTCCTGAAAGATTGTAGTGTGGCATTCAGAAAGAACCTCGGGCCTGCAAACTGGGCCAATGAGCTGGATTCAGACCACAAGCTGCCCATCCCTATCACCGTGGCGCCATAGCTGCCAGCACTCTGCCCGGCACACTCTTCCCCCTGAGAGGCCCCAGAAGCCTGTAGCAGCTGTTCACTCCCTAGCTACTTTGCCCTTAAAAGCTTTCTCAGGTTGTAACAAAAAAAGGTTTTTTAAGTGATTTTTTTTTTTTCTATCAAATGATCTTCCTGATATTTGCAAAATGGTCAAAGATAGCCATCTTGCTTTGAAAAATTCAGTGAAGTAGGAAATAAAGACCTTCTAGAACTGGAGGTACTATTTCCTTTTGAGAATGAACCTCTTCATCGCTTGGTGGCTTTCGTCCCTTCCTTTCCTCTCTTGCAGTTAAAACCACTAGTGCTACAGGGGCCTGAGAGCCCATGTGGGCCCTCCCAACCTGCCCACTGGTAAGTGGTAGATTGTAGGGCTGCTGTTCAAAGGCTGGCTTGTGGTTCAGTATTCACTGCTATTTTCTTGTCCATGATATTGCTGTATCAACGTGTGCAATTCCTAGAATCAGAAAGTTTGAGGACTGCAAAGAGCTCAAAGATGTTTGAACACTGGAACGTAGTAAGGTTTGTTGACCTCTCTAGTATCCTAATTGATTAAGAATTGGTTTGGGACATGGCCCTGCATTCCCACACACCAAGGCTCTTTCTCTTCCTTCTTTCGCTTCTGAGCTATGTCCATTCCACCCAGGCCAGTAGAGAGAGGCTCAGCTAGTGGTAGCTCCTGTTGCCATGGACGAGGATGAGTTTAGACTGTCCCGGTCAGGCTGGGCAGGAAGTTGTCTGTTGATTCTCCTTCCGAGGCTATTGGTTATGTTGAGGTCTTGTCCCACCAACCTGCAGGGGGTTCAGGTTGTGAATGGAGGATTTGGAAAGGTTTTGTGAAAAGGCCCAGTGCTTTCAGCTGTAGTTACAAGACTGTACCCTTTTTTCTCATCAGATGTAAAACACGAGATTAAGTGCTGTGAGGGCAGAGCTGTGGTTGACATATATGTTATTAACGCACAGCATTTGTGGTGGTAGGCTCAAAATAAGTTTCCTCTATGCCAGATTCCACTTGATGAATGGGTTCATCCATCCCTGCAGTCCTCTCTCCTAAGACAAGTCTGACAGTTCTCTCTTTTCGTGGAATGTATAGAGATACCACATTTTATCTGTGGTGAGAGACTACACTTTATGAGAACTTAATGCTTGTTTTTTTTTTTGCCTCCATACAAGTTCTGACGGTTCAGGTAAGGGAGAATCCAGATGACTGAATGACTGAATCCTAAAGGCCAGTTTTCTGTTTTATAACTAAACTGTCTAAAAATGATTTTGACTTCTTTCAATTTATTGTGAGAACAATTTATCTGAGGGTAAAACTACCTAAGTCAGATTTAGTTTGTTATACATTATCTAGCATGTCCCATATGTTTTGAAGTAGAACAGAAGCTAGAGTTTGTAAAGTTGCTTTCCAGAGTCAGTTTTTGGTGGCCTTTCATTGACCATTGTCTTGATTTTTTAAAATCACATAGTTTGTTTTAACTAGCTAAAATGTAGACAGATGTTGGAAAGTAAAGGGTTTTCCAATAGGAGTAGGTTGTATCATAGGGTGGAATAAGGGAAGTTGGTCATAATGCTTGCTATTGGTCACACTATTTGGAAATGTCGCTATTTACAAAGAATTATGTGCAGGCCATTGTGCTTACTTCCATTCCTGATAATGTTCTGTCTTGCCTCCCTCCCATGGTCCCTGACTTAGTGTCAACAGTAACATCTATGCAGTCTTAAAAAGTGTGGTGTTTATTTATAACTAACTAAACTACTGAGTGTACTTAATGGTACAATCCCAGTTAAATGGGGGCAGGCTAGGGAATGGGTTTTGACACAGTATTGTTTTGCAGTAGATCAAACCTAAGCAACTTCCTACTTACAGACAAGTGTGTTGTGTTGGTTTTGAAGGGAAGGCAGGAAATTTGTTGATAATGTGTTGAAAGAGATCTCCGTAGCAGTAAGTGTGGTTTCTTGTGTTCTCGCCTTCCAGGAAGGTTGGTTGGTTGGTTTGCAGGGTGTGAGGATGGGGGATTATCAGCTTCGTTTCTTTACCCTTCCTCCTCCAGTGTTACAAAAGCAAAAAGCAAATGTGCACACCCCTGGCTTTGTGGTTTTCTGCCTGCTATAGTGAACATGTCTGTGTTGGGCACTTTGTGCCTTTGTGGGTGCCTGGTGTGTCACTACACCAAGAAGAAGCATGTTTTCTGCAGGGAAATCCATGGTCCCAGCAGCCTGGGAGCCAGTGGCCCTTCCCTAGCCCCTGCATTCCCCTTCCAGGTTTTGGTGAGGGGACCAGGAGGAAGCCTGCTGAGAGTCAGCAGACCCTTCAAGTGGAGGCCTACTTCCTCGAGAGCTTCCACTCTGCTGTTGCTGCTGCTCTCTCCCTTACGTGGGACTAATGAGCTCCCTATTTGCTGGGCCTCCTCATTTTCTTGGGCAGATGGGATGTGTCCCACCTTCTCCCCACTTTTGCCCATTCGTAAGATGGGGACACCAGCTGATAGCCTCAGCACCCTGTGTCCCACCTCTCTCCGTGTCTGACCTGAGGGTGGCCGTTTCTCCGTCTGGGTGCTTCTGTCACGTTGGTTGTTGTTGCTGGCTCTTGTGAATGTTAGGAGCCTGTTTTTGAGGTTTCTAGTTGAGCCAAAAAGTGTCGGTTCTCCCACTGCCGGAGACCGACAAAGCCGGGCTGGAAGAGACCCCGGACCAGCCGGCGGCAACCTCTTATGGGGCTGAGCGGGATGATGAGTGTCGCAGGCCCGATCCCCTCTGCACTTCGGCCCCAGGGACAAAGAAAGAACACCGAGCCTGGAGAGCGGTCAAAGCCGGAACTCTGTTTATTACAAGGGAACAGAGGCTTATATAGGGAGTGTGGGGTGGGGAAACTATTACCCAATCAGGGGCGGCCACATCGTAGAGGGACGGGTAACGGTAGAGCAGGAAAAAAGTGCCGAGTCACAAAACCCCGGAAGAGGGAGCAGTTAGCTACGTGCGTTTTGGCTTGCATGAAATGGCGGCGGCAAATTCGTGATTTGCTTGCAACATGGCTACCGCCCTGTTTATATCAAAAAACAGAAACTAGATACGGGAAAGTTCCTCATGGTGGAAGTGCACCGTAATGTGGCCCAACAAAAAGGCCATTTTTCCATATCCCACTGGAGCAGCAGTTGGATGGGTTATACCCTCCTGCTCCTTGGCTGCCTCATATGCCCTCGGCAACTTCATGCGTTCCCTTTTGCTTTTCTGTTGTTTCTGTAGCTGTTGTTCCAAGCCCTGCTCCAATCCTTGACAAAAACTCAGCTCCTCTCTTTCGCAGTACTTGGGGAGGAACCAGGTGCACTGCTGAGTCGGGGTTAGAGCTGGGCTTGAAAGGTCTGCAGGAGCACAGCAAATGCAGGCACTAGGGGTGAGGACACAGCAAGTGCTTGCTGCTGTCTTCAGGGCAGCTTAACTTTATTTCCGCAGTCAGAGGGGATCAAAGCTCCAGGGCCTGTGCCACATACCTCGCCTCTCCCCTCACCTCCTAATAATTCTTAGTGCAACCAGTGAGTTCATCACCTTTAATGCTTAACCATAAAGTCTGTGACCAGATGACACTAGTATTCTGACCAGTCAGCCAGGTACTGCCTGGCCAAGAGTGGCTAAGATAGTGTTTATCTCTAGTAATAATCGAGTAAGCACTCCTGGAGCCAGGGAGGCATTTGCCAACTCAGAGGTTTGCAGAGTAAAGAAAGCCAGATAAATAATGAAGAAGGAGATCTTGTGTTAATTGTCGCTCCTTATCTGAGGGGGCTTAATAGCTCCTTTTATTCCAAGGTCAAGATTTTTATTTTTTTCTGTTACTCTTACCCAAGTCATAGAAAAAAGAAAAAGAGAGACATAGAAGCCTTTACAAGCCAAGTTTCTCTCTTCCTTGCAGACCTGAAAGGAAGCGGAGAGATGTCATGCAAGTGGCCAACACCACCATGTCCAGCCGAAGCAGGAACACCACGGTGGCAGATGCCTACAATATTACAGACCCAGAAGAGCTAGAGACAGAGTACCCTTTCTTTGAGAGCAGAGTGGATAACAAGGAGAGAACAATCATCTCTAACCTCCGGCCTTTTACCTTGTACCGCATTGATATCCACAGCTGTAACCATGAGGCTGAGAAGCTGGGCTGCAGCGCCTCCAACTTTGTCTTTGCAAGAACCATGCCCGCGGGTATGGAGTGATCCAGCTAGCCCCGTGGCTGACTCATTCACAGGCTAGAGGAGAAGATTGTGTTTCATGGATATGGGGTCTGACACCCAGGAACGATCCTTAGTCTTGGGCCTGTTTACTAAAGAATGTGTGATCATTAGTAGGCATTGTGGTAGACCCAGCCACCTGGGGAGCGGGGCCCTCGCTCTCATAGTGACATTGTCTCTCTGTAGAAGGTACCTGAGAGCAGGACGTTCTCTGCAGGGTTCACTCACCTCCCCACACTTGGTTCACATTGTGCATTCCCACGGCCCCTTGCCCCATTTGTGCATAGGTAGTCTGCTCCCTTCCGAGTTCCCACAGATTCAGTGAAATCCCCAGTTAGCTACCCTGATTCAGAGTAACCATCGCTCTTCAAGGTAAACTCCTGGAGTAGCCTGTGGTCCTGCTTACTTGGTCTGGGCTTTGTCTTATAAATTAGACGCTACCTGTCGCTCATACAGTCATTCATCCATCTTTGGAGGTGGGGGAACTGCCTGGTTCTCATTCTTGCGAGAGGCATCAGGCAGTAGAAAGAGCATGGAGGTGACTGGAGTCTGGGGAGGGGGTCTCCTGGGCTCACTTCTGATGTGCAGCGTGTGTTGAGGCAGCTGTCAGTTTCCTATGCCTCAGTTTCCCCAACCCTCTTAGGAGAGACATAGACCAGCTGATCTCTCAGTTCCTTTCCTAACTGTAACTTTCTGGGACTGCTGCTCATCAGTTTACTTACTGCTTTGAGAAGCAAAAGCGAGAGAGCAACCACCACAAGGTCAGCGGGTAGCTGAGGGAGAAGCTGGTAACAGCAGGGAGCCCTCGTCCTCCACACCAGCTTCTTTGCAGCTTCCCGCAGGCTGAGTTGGGACCATCCTTCCCACCCATGTAAGAATTGCCATTTCCCCGTGTAGATGCACACTGTGGGGGATCCCTGTTCCAGCCTAAGGCTCCGGACTCTGCTTCTGCTCATTCAGCACCATTTTGATGCTTCACATAGTTTTCTTTTTTCAAGTGGTAGAAGCAGAAGGAATAAGATAGAAGAAGAAAGTTAACTAGGTTGCCAAGAGTTCTCTTCTGTGCTTGTAGCAGGCTTTTTTGGTGGGGGCCAGGAGAAGGGAGGGTATCACGGCATCTTGAGACGGACAAGTCATCAGTGTTGTCCAATTCCGAGACCTCTGCCGAGAGTGAGCAGCCAGTCCAGGAGGAGTCTGTGTGGTCACTGTCCACAGTCCTGCATGCACAGATGGCAGGTTATTCTCAGGTTAGCCCTATGCTTGTCTCCCTCCCTGGACATGCAAATCCAACTTTGTTTTTTTGTTTAAATTGTTGTACAGAAGGAGCAGATGACATTCCTGGGCCAGTGACCTGGGAGCCAAGGCCTGAGAACTCCATCTTCTTAAAGTGGCCAGAACCCGAGAATCCCAATGGATTGATTTTAATGTATGAAGTAAAGTATGGATCGCAAATTGAGGTAAGACGGGGGCAGTGGTCCACGTCTGTGTTTCCATCAAAGCTGGTAGCATATGATCCATTACAACCCAGGTTACTTCCTGTTTGACTTAAGACTTAAAAATAGTAAAATGAGGTGGTCACTAGGTGAGGGTTTACGTCTTCCTACCTGCTCTGTGCTCTGTGAGGAACACTCCAGAGCCTGCGAGGAACTGGACTGCTCCTCACCCTCAAGAAACTATTCCATTGTAGAAAATGACCTTATGGCATAGGGTAGATCAGTCTTAATAACTTTTAATCCTTGTGGAGTTCTTTTTGGTTACAAAAATGTTTGGTTAAAACTTTTGTATATGCTTAAAGTTACTTGAGGACTACCTTTTAAGACTTGGTTTCTTCTTTTTTTATTGACCTTCGGGATAATTGTTAGGTGGAGAGAGAGAGGTCAGTGAATGGGCAGGTAGAGTCACCAGCGCAGTGCATTTAGCTGGCAGGTCCCAGATTTCTCCAATGTTTGTGAGAAATTTACATATATGTCTTATTTCCCCCAGGATCAGCGGGAATGTGTGTCCAGGCAGGAATACAGGAAGTATGGAGGGGCCAAGCTTAACCGGCTAAACCCAGGGAACTATACGGCCCGGATTCAGGCCACCTCTCTCTCTGGGAATGGATCTTGGACGGACCCCGTGTTCTTCTATGTCCCACCTAAGAGTAAGGCTTGTCTCGGGAATAATGTGGTAAAACTGGAAGCAGGTTGAGTTTTGGGAAGCCTGGGTCACTGTAGCTTTCTTATAGTCTCATATTCTGTTAGAACGGAGGTGGCCAACTTTCAGAAGGTCACACTAAGGTGCCAGCACCTTGTCTGGGAGCTCAGGCTGGAGAGGTGCTGACTTTGGGTCCCTACTTCCTGGGACAGGCAGGGAGAAGGTCTGAGCCCCTCTTGAGATTGTGCCACCACTAGAGAGGCAGAGGAGACCTTTGCTTTCCATTTTACAGAGTGTTGAATTGACCATTCCACTTCCTGTCTGGTCAGTGAAGCTGGTTAGAGTTCAGAATCCTAAGGGGTGAAAGAACCCGAGGGGTTATCTGGTTCTGCCTGCTCCAAAGCAGGAATCTCCATGACAGTATCCCAGGTGGAGGCATTCTTTTTTTTTTTTTCCCTTTTTGTCATTTTTCGTGTCCGGCAACGGATCGCAACCCTCAGTGTCACACCCGTACCGGACCGGGACCGGCAACAGCATCGCAACCCTCGGTGCTGCGCCCGCACCTCGCTCAGCCAGTGAGTGGGAACCGGTCTGTATGTGGGATCTGAACCCTCGGCGGGAGCGCCATCGCGCTCCCAAGTGGCGCACTGCTACACAGTGTGCCACCGGGCCGGCCCCCCCAGGTGGAGGCATTCTGCTCCCCTTAACTGCCTGCTAGTAAAATACACATACACCCTTAAAGCAGCAATAGGCATTGAAAGCACACAGTCCCCACTGTGTGGTGCAGAGGCTGGGTAATGTTGTGAGTTTATGCACGAGCCAAATTCCGTAAGACTGAATTCTTAGAAGGCTGTGCTTTGTGATTATTTCAGATTTTAAAGCTGAATTTTGTAAAAGGGCCACATACTTGTTTTTTGACCAAGAAAATTAGTATTTTGTTTGGTATTAATACTATAAAATTAGTATTTCCATATTGAGTTTCTATTATTTCTTATTAGAAACCCAGTTTTTTAGATTTTATTTCATGTTCATAGAATGGGATCAAATTTGGATAACACCATTTCTTACTGCTCCCCACAACAAAAAAGCAACCCAACCTTACTTAGTGGTAGTACTTTTGGGTCTGATGGACTGGTCCTTCCTGGTGTTCACATTCCTGCTACTCTGAACTGGAGTCTGATTAAACAAGGACAGAGTAGATCTAACAGTCCCACTTCTAGGTGTATATCTAAAGGAAATGAAATCAGTATGTCAAAGAAATGTCTACACCCCATGTTTATTGCAGCATTATTCACAACTGCCAAGATGTGGAATCAGCCTAAGTGTCCATCAGTGGGTGAATGGATAAAGAAAATGTGTTATATGTACACAATGGAATACTATTCAGCCTCAGAAATGGAGGAAATCCTGTCATTTGCGACAACGTAGATGAACCTGAAGGACATCATGTTAAATAAAATAAGTCAGGCACAGAAAGACAAATATCACATGATCTCACTTACATGGGAAATGTAAAAAAGTTAAACATAGAAAGAAGCAGAGGGTAGAATGATGGTTGCCTGGGGCTGGGGGCTGTTACCAGGGGCTTGGTCAAAGGATACAAAATTTCAGTTATATCAGAGGGAGTCAGTTCAAGAGAACTATTGTACAGCATGGTGATTATAGTTAATAACCATGTATCATATTCTTAAAAATTACTAGGACAGTAGGTTTTAAGTGTTCCTTGCCATAAAAAAAATAAGTGTGTGAGGTGGTGCATATATTAATTAGCTCAATTAAGCCATTCCACAATGTGTACATATTTCAAAACATCATGTCCTATGCAGTAAATATATCTGATTTCTATTTGTCAGTTAAATTAATTTTTTTAGAAAACTAGGACTCCATCGGTCCACCTGGTCAGAGCTATTCAAAGATGTGCGTGATATCTGAGACCCTAATAGTGAAAGCAAGGGAAGGCTGGGGGTGAATAGCACTGCAAGCCTTGAGCCAACAGTTTATGTGCCTGGGTTCAGGTTGTAGGTTTAAACGGATGCTTAGGCAAGTAATTTTGTCAATTAAAATAGTCTGAATTCTCTCATTTAGTCCATTTAACCTAGTCTTACCAGTTAACCTGTGCTCCCTTCCCAGTACCTGGAACCTTCACAGTGTTCCTGTAACCCTCTCAGAGTAGTGACTTGCTTGCTTTCTCTATCCTCTCCCCTCCACTCCTGCTTATACATCCCCTAGGAACAGAGCCTAGGTTTGGAGATCTGTGGTCTTTGAAAAAGAGCTGTGGCTTCTGGAGTTTATTGAACTTGGCATACTTGGGAAAGGACACGTTCCTGTCTGCCTTTGCTGTTCCATTTTTTAACCCTGTGAGTGCCAGGATGCAAGTGGGAAACCCAAGAGTCCGTCTGATGGAATTTTCCAGCAAAAGTTGGCATATACTGCAGGGAAATTGAGTTTGCATGACTGCTTCACTGTTGGGAAGTTTTTCCTTATGTCAGACAAGACTCTCCTGCTACAGTTCAGTCTCATTTCCTCTCGTTTAATCCTCAAAGGAGAAGGAAGCGTTGGAAGCTTTCTGGCAACTGCTCTCCGTTTAGGAAGTCTTTGTGTGCTTGAATACTATTAAATTACTCTTCAGACTTCTCTTTTCCAAATTAAACAATCTCAGGTCTTTCAGCCTGTTCTTGTAGCCCAGTCTCATAGACCAATTTTCTACCCATTTAATCATCTTGTTCTTTTCTGGATGTGTTCCAGTTTCTCCATGTCCCTGTTGAAATGTGAGACTTAAAGAGAACACGGTACAACGTGACCAGTAGTATGAGTGATACAAATAAAAGTAATAGTCCTCAGGGGGAAAAAAGAAAAATCTGCCAGCTTCCCATTGGCAATGATAACTTGTGAGTATTTCCAGGAATTAGAAAATGTAGGAGCCTGCATCCATTTTGAGACATATTTGATAAAAAGTATCTTTTTTTTTTTTCCTTTTTGAGACCGGTTGCACCGCGCTCAGCTAGTGAGCGCATCACGCCGGCCATCCCTATACAGGATCCGAACCCGCTGCGGGAGCACTGCTGTGCTCCCAGCGCCGCACTCTCCCAAGTGCGCCACGGGCTTGGCCCTAAAAAGTATCTTTAATTAAAAAACTGAAACAGCTTTACTAGTCTCAAAAGAAGAAAAAGAATAATAGTTTTTAGTGGCAAAATACTCATTGATGGATGACTTATGATCAGTGTAGCTTGGTCCCCAATGAGTTCCAAACCAATTTCCACATAGACATCTCTACTTGGGTGTCCTGTGGCTGCCTCAAGCTCCTTGTGCACAAAACCAGAATCACAGTTGCTGCCTTCAGCACACCTCTTCCCTCCTTTGTTCCTTAGCTCAGGCAATAGCCCCGTAAGTCAGTTATTATCGAAACCTGGAATCTCACAGACACCCTTCACTCTTCTTTCTCTCCAGCCAACTTTTTCATTCCAAACCAAGTCTCATGGATTCCACCTCTTAACTAGCTCTGGAGCCCAGCCCTTCCATTGCCACCACCACTGCCACAGCTCACAGCCTCCAGGTTGCTTCCATTATGGGGATAGTAGGAGCTGTGCATCCAGGAAGGCTGGACTCTCATCCCTGGGCCATGACTTCCCAGCTACTTGTGTGACCCTGGGAAAGTCAGGTCATCTCTGTGAGTCTTCCTCATTGATAGAAAAAGAGCAGCGATTTCTTCATGAGGTCTGAAGTGGGTAGCACAGACATGGGGGACATGTCTTTTCTCCCTTCCAGCTCTCTGAGACATAGCAGTCTCTCCTCTTTGCTTCCAGGTCCCCAGAGTCTGTCCTCAGGCACAGCCATCTTCTCTGTACACAAATCTGATCAGTTCACTTCCAGCTTTTGAAAGCTTTCACTGACTTCTTTTAATCTGCATAAGGAAGTTGAAACTGCTTAGCCTGGACAAGGCCCTTTGTGAGCCAGCCCTCACTTCTCTCTGGTATCATCTCCAAGCCATTTCCCACCAAGGAAAGCACATATTTCTCCTTCAGACTCAGGCTAAAGGAACTTTCCCTTAGACAGCTTCTCTTGACTCTCTTCTCTCCTCTCCCTCCCTCTCTGCATGCTTGCCGTAGGTGCAGTCCAGTTTTCTCATTGTTGGGCTACCTGTTGACTTATTGGTTTCCCATATCTGGCAAAACTTTCCAAGGTGTGGGGCCACGTCCCTAGTGCCCAGCCTAGCATCTGTCATACAAGCATGGGTGACAAGTGCAGCAGCAGGCTCTGTGGTCTCAGACTTATAATCAGATTCAAATGTTTGTGGAGAATTAAGAACGGCATTGACAAGGGGTGCCATCCAGTTGTTTGTGTGTGTGTGTGTATTTTAAATTGTCTTTGGAACTGTCTTAAGACAGATAAAAGTCAGTATGGCTTGAATGTTATATATGTAAGAATCTCTGGTTGTTTTATTTCAGCAAATTACGCATTTTCACTAACAGTCATTGCTCTGCATACAAAGATTATTTTCCTTCAGTCCGTCATTGAACTATTACATCAGAATATGCTGTACTTAGAAAAATGAATATACACCTCGGTCTGTACTTATTTCATCTTTTTTCAAATAATTCAGTTTCCTTTCTGTGTTATTTCTGATACCATTTACCTTCAGTAATTCCTAGTGCATAATAGGGGAGTAAAGGAATTTTCAGAGGATTTTTTTTTCATACTTCCAACTGAATGTAAAGAAATGAGTGAGGAGATTGTTCACCTGGTGACTTTTCTTATTTCCTTCTCATTTCTGAAGCAGCTTATGAAAACTTCATCCATCTGATCATTGCTCTGCCCGTTGCCGTCCTGTTGATCGTGGGAGGGTTGGTGATAATGTTGTACGTCTTCCACAGAAAGAGGTGAGTGGCTTATGCAAAGTTAGACACTTTTTGTGGCTAAGTGACTTGATGATCTGAACCTGAGTGTAAGTAATCATTTTGAGGATTTGGGGGAAATATTGAATGGATTGGAAAACCTGATTTTTCCAGTCAAATGTTCTTTACAAGAAAAGAGAACATTGTCTAATGATTTAACAACAACAACAAACATTTTTCTAATGGTACAGGTCTTTCCCTTACTGGTTGTTCTGTTGCACAGATACTGCTGTTTATACAAAGCTTTTCCAAATGCACCATGTTGGACTTCCCGATCAAATAAGCCTTGTTATTTGCAGTAAACTAAAGATACAAATGTTTCTTGAAGAGCTCGAATCTGGAGCCACTGAAGATGCCACAAGGTGACTTAGCAAGTGTTTGCCGGCCTGCCCAGGTCTGAACTGGGAGTGTGGACAGGAGCCGTCGTGAGCAGCAGGCTCTCCTTCCCTTCTGATGCTTACCGAGACAGAGTACATAAAACTGTTAGAGCAGAGACAGAAGTGCTTACAGAAATACATGGAGGTGGGCTTTTTTTTAACCTGAATTTTATCTTCTTTGACAGAAGTAACAGCAGACTGGGGAATGGAGTGCTGTACGCCTCTGTGAACCCCGAGTACTTCAGCGCAGCCGATGGTGAGGGTCCCAGCCTCGTGCACCACCAGGGGTGGGGGCAGCTGATGGGGGTTTTCAGGAGTGTCGCTAATGAGGGGAGAGGTTTGCATTATTTTGAGGTACCTTTGGCCTTGATCTATCTTCCTTAACGTTTCTTTTTTTCTTTCTTTTTTAATCAAAGTGTTGAGCAGTTCGGTGAATATGTCAAAACTTCTGGGACTCTGTGGGGTACCTGTGGGAAAAACAGGCTTCAGAGATGAATGTGGCCAGCACAATCACCAGTTTATTAACTGCTTGAAATTTTATGTTAGAATGAAAAATGCATTTTAATTGTTAGCATCTAGTCAGAGGTTATGCTGCAGCTAACAAAACAGTCCTTTTAAACTAGTTTCAGCTTAGGTGTTATGTCATTTTTATTGTCTTTGACTACTTCCTGCTTGCCTGTTTTTTTTTATCTTGGAATGTTTCTGCCATTCTTTCCTGACTGGGGTCCTGCAGTTTATGCCCTCAGGCCCATTCACATTCCACTTGGTAATAACTAATAAGGGGCATTTAGTTAAGTGGCTGATACTATCTGACTGGGAAGCTGGGTTGTAGTGGATGGTTATTTTCTTTTTTGCTTTTTTCTATCTTTTCTTCCTAGTATACTGATATCCAAACCTTTTAAGTAAGTCAGATTAGGGTTGGGGGGTGGGGGGGCTTGGTCATAGGGTCTAGTAACACTAGTACCATTGACTAGCACTTTGCCAGGGGCTTTTACAAACACTGTGCCCTTTGTTCCTTACACCCCTGCAAGGTGGGTGGGTTGTCTTATGCCCACCTGTGGGTGAGGAAACAAGCTCCTAGAAGGAACTTGCTCAGGGTCACTTGCTAGGCAGTTGAGAAGTCAGGATGAGAATGGTCCCTGGCTCTTCTTGCTGCATCTTGCTGACTGTGTGGTGTAGTCACCATGGAAAAGGGCTGTGAGGTCCTCGGGGCAGGCAGGGAAGCTGGCCCCCAGGAAAGGCTGGACCGGCTTCATCAATTTAACAGATAAGTGCCTGACACTTTGTGGATATGTTTAGAAGAAGTTTTTGCCGCCTTCTTGCTTCAGAAGAAGTGAAAGTACACATGCAGGAGATGTGAAATAGAGGGTCATGATTATTCTAATTGATTATCCTAATCATATGAGAAAACAAGAAAATACTTTGGTAACTTAAGAGCACCATATAAATGTGTAAGGTTTTACTGTGATTGCTTTAATCATTTCTAATTCAATTATGTTTATAATAAAGCCAATCAAAAGCAGCCCCTGCTGAATGGGAATCAGGTGCAGAATAATAGGGCTGTTATTCCTGTTTACATAAATGTCTCAAAAAGTTGTTTTTTTAATAGGCATATATACATACATATGTATGTGTGTGTATATAAGGCATAGAGAACATTCTGGAGGGAGGCATACCACACTTACAAGAGTAGTTATTTCTGGAGAAGATCTTTCCCATTAAAAAAACGGCTAGAAGTAGGTATGTGTTTGTATAAATAATAGCTTTTAAAAAAAGAAGAAATTAATTAAGCCAAGGGCATCATCACAGACAATAGAATTGATAGGGACAGTGCAGGGCCACTTGCCCTCTCTGTGAGGGTGGAATAAGATTATACCAGAGAATCTACTCTGCTATGAGATAAAGCACCAGAGGTTGGCATTTGCACCTTTGACTATGAAGTGTCCAGGAGTTTAGAGAGAGCATTCATACAGTAAAATCAGACTCTCTAATGGTGACTTGAAGTCAAATTTTGCATGCTTCCAGTATGCAGAATAATGGGTCCTGTCATCTTCTTTAAAACAAAGCAAGACAAAATAAAAACAAACGTATTGCTACTCAGACCAACAGGTGGGAACACTGTCACCTCATTTGAACTTAATTTATTTGGCCTTTTGACAAGCACCACATAGCCACTTTCCTCAAGGGGCAACAAAATGACATTGCAGTTCAAAAGTGCTTAAAAACTTCTTTCTCCCAAAGCTAATCTGCATGTCACCATTCTCCAGAGTACACTGAAAATCCCCTACAGGAAAGTGCTGATAACATTGTGCCCATAAACCGCTCCTGGCTGGTGAGCTTAGAACCACTGGTTAAAGTAAGAGTAGTTGAGTTGAATTTAAAGAAAAGGATTGAGGGTATTGACTTAAGGGACCTCCCAAGGAATGAATGTGATTGGTTTTAACTCCATGTTTTATGGCATGCTACCTATTTAATTCTGATTAAAAGCAAGCCTGGATTCTCAGAGATAAATGGACTATGCTTTCTGAAGGGTATTGTGAAGGGTCTTGTCTTCTGGCTCGTCTTGCATACTTACTCTCCTAAGCAAGCATCAGCCTCTTCTTCAGGGATGCAAACCTTCTAAGCTATGTGGAGTGCAGAGTTCCATGTGTGATATTCCTAAACACATATGTAGTATGAAGTACAAAAATGCGTATGGAAGAAAATTCAAGATGATTAATATAGTCCATATTGGACACTCCTCAGAGGTGTAAATTGGTGGTGTCTTCTGGGCCAAATTTATTATAAACACCTTTCCTTTAAGACATCACTTAAGGGTGAATACTTGAGACCCGGGGATGTTGGAATACAGCTGTCAGTCCGCTGCTTCTCTCACATTCAACCACAGCCCCTGGGTCAGCATTTGAAGGCATAGAAGGCAAACGCAGGGTGATACCCTCTCCCTATTCCTTCTGCATTTCTGAGCCAGAACCACCTCCTTCCTACCAGTCAGCGTGTGGTGCAGCCTGGTGCTGGTTCCCCTTCAGGCAAGGACATTCTGTACAGCATTAAACGAAAATGGTTATAATTAAAATTTCTTATTGATCTTATGGAATAGGTTAATTTTATTTTAATTTTTACCCTAGCCAGTTTGAGTCATGGGATGGAGCCTCTGGTTTTATTTTTTCTTTCATCCCCTTTTTTTCTCTTTCCTTCTCTTTCTTTCTCCTTCCTTCCTGCCTAGAATTGTCTGTTTATTTTTTCAAACAAGATTGAATCTAAACAGAAGCAAAAGCTAGGGAAAAAATCATACTCAGGCTCAGTATTGACCATATCTCCTTCCCAGCCCTTCACTCAGTGGTGGAGGCCCCTGAGTTCACAGAGCCCTGGGGAGCCCCCTCTGCTCAGCAGCTGCCCCTCCTTGCTGGTCACCGCCTGGTCTCCCTCAGTACCAGAGTTCATTTGCTTCTGTACCTCATTAGAGGCCCAACTGTCACAGGCCAGGCCAGAGACACCTTGTTTAGACTACAGAAGTCCTACCAGTAAAAATGTAATGCAATTCACATATGTAACCTTAAATTTTCTAGTAGCCATATTTTAAGAAAGTAAAAAGAAATAGGTGAAGTAAACTTTAATAATATATTTTATTTAACCCGGTATATCCAAAATATTATCAATTTTGGCTGGCTGCTTAGCTCAGTTGGTTAGATGGAGCACAGCCTTATAATACCAAGGTCGTGGGTTCAGATCCTTGAACTGGCCAGCTGCCAAAAACAAAATAAAACAAAAAAAAGTTATCAATTTTAAGATGTAATCAGTATAAGAGTTATTGAAATATTTCACTAAGTCTTTGAAATCCAGCATGTATTTTATACTTACAGCACGTTTCAGATTGGGTTAGCCACAGGTCAGGACTGGTTACTATGTTAGATAGCACAGGTCTGGGGTCTGTGCCGAGGACCCTAACACCGCTTTTGGGTTCATCCAGGAAATAGAACCTCACATGCAACATTATCACCTCTCACACACACCTCTGCCCTTTTTCCTGACCTGGAATAAAAACTCTTCTTTCTCCGTACTCCTCCTTTTTCTGATTTGTGTTTTAGTCCATTGATGAAGATGAGTAAAAAAAATCCTAGGCTCTAGACTCCTGCTTGACCATTTTATTAGTCTCTGTATCTCCCATGGGTGAAAGTCGGTGGAAAGGCTCTTTTCCTTGACTGTTTCAATTCTGTTTTCTTCTCCTCCAGTGTACATTCCTGACGAGTGGGAGGTGGCTCGAGAAAAGATCACCATGAGCCGAGAGCTTGGCCAGGGGTCGTTCGGGATGGTCTATGAAGGGGTTGCCAAGGGCGTGGTTAAAGATGAACCCGAGACCAGGGTGGCTGTTAAAACTGTGAATGAGGCTGCCAGCATGCGCGAAAGGATTGAGTTTCTCAACGAGGCTTCTGTGATGAAGGAGTTCAATTGTCACCATGTGGTAAGAAAAGGACCCTGAAAAGCCAAAATCCAACACAGGGAGGGGGTGTCACCAGGGCTCTCCATGTATATGTGGCCACACCTGTGGATCTGGTGTTTCACCCTGTATTCTACACGGTCACCCCATGGCCTCACGGTTACATTCAGAGCCCTATACGTATGCGCACGTGAAGGTTCTCCAGGGGACCCAGACCCTGATGGGTGGAGCCCCAGGTCCCAGGCCCCCACAGACAGTTCCACACAGCTGGGGAAGTGGCGGGGGCCACCCTCACCCTCTGAGTCCTCTCTTTTTGATTCCTCCCCCAGGTGCGCTTGCTGGGCGTGGTGTCCCAAGGCCAGCCAACGCTGGTCATCATGGAACTGATGACCCGGGGGGATCTCAAAAGTTATCTCAGGTCTCTGAGGCCAGAAACGGAGGTCAGTTTTGCTTTTCACCAACTTTGCATGTTACCTCACCTGTTCCTGTTCTTTAGACAATCCCCGCAGGAAAATATTATGTCTGTAAATCCACTTACTTTTCAGCATCGAGTGTTTTTTGCTACATGCTTGTTATGGCCCTTTATGTAAGGGTTTCCCCAGCTGGAGGTAGACCTTGATCTTTGGGAGAGGCACTTGCTATTCCTCAGATCCCCTTTTGTGCAAATACCTCTATGCCTTTGTTACTGCATCTCCTCCCTCCACCTTGGTTCCCTCCCCACATCTCATATCCACCTGCCAGATCATTTCAGTGCTGCTCCCTTCCTGAAGCCTTGCCTGCCCCCTTGCCAGGAGCCACCATCTCTCAGCACCTAGCATGCATTTTCTCTTGTTGTTGTCTCAGCGTATCCCCTCCATACCCCATCCACTATGTTCAGCTTTTCATCCCAGGCCCAGCAGGTAGCTCAGGGGTATGCTCCATCAACAAAGGTGTGTTAAAGCTCTGTGGTAGGCCGGCTGTATTCTTACCCTTGCCTCTGGGCAGTTGCCAAGGTGATTTCCCACACAGCTCTGTGCACAAGACATCGCTCATCCACAAGACCGCTCTCCATACCCTGTCCATCCCTTGCATTGGCAGTGGTCTGAGCCTTCCTCAGATTCTGCCTCCACATTCCAGGTTTGATCCTGAGTCAGTGTCTTTCTTGCATTTCTGAATGATAATCATCTCAGCCACACAATCTCTGCTTAGTCTACTAAAAATTTCAATTTGGATTACAAGTTTCAAATTTTAAGCCTGCTAAAGTCCCATGCAGCTTTTTATTAGTCACTGTGGCATCTCCCCTGCTTCAGTTATTAACCCACAAGCCAGCTTTTTAACATATGGAGACATGACTTACAGGTAATTAATTCTAAGATAAACTGGTAGATAAATACTGAGAAACAACCAGCAACAACCGCCTTTTCATCGGCTGCCTTGGTGGATCTGAAGGTCAACCACTTTGACCCTGACGTTGCTACTTATGGGGTGAGCAGTGCCCTTTCTTTGCTCCTTTTGAATTTTTTTTGTTGCTGTTCTATTTAATTTTTTTCCTCCTTTTAATCTACAACTTAATTGTCTCCCAAGTAGCAGTTTTTTAATTTTAGTTCCAAGCACCTGTTCACATATGACTTCATTTATTTACAGCACATGGTGTTTGGGATTCTTTGACAGCCAGGAGTCCAAGCACGGCAGCTTACAGCCCTCCCCAGCTCTGTTGCACCCAGCATTGGTCTCTGGCCCCTGGATGTTAGTGCCTTTTTCTGGCTCACTGTAATGCACAAACCAACATGAAGGAGGAAAGCTTGACGAAACAAATGACTGAATACGTGGTAGAATTCTTACCAGCATCCTTTAAGGCACCTCTGAAAAGCATGAAACACTCATTCCCTTCATCCCCAATTTCAGGTTCAGAATAAAAATGTAGAACACATGGTCTTAGTCCTGGCTCTGCCTCTGGCTGCCTGCAGTCCTCAGCAAGCCACTATGGGTATCTTGACCTCAGTTTCCTCATGTGTAAAATGAGAGGGTTGGACAAAGTGATTACTGAAGTCCTTTTCAGATGTAAAATTCACCTGTAGATTTTTCAGATTTAGATTTTTTTCTAAGTCATTTTGAGTATAAAAATGTGTATGCTTATCCTGCAGTGTCACTATGTTCTACTTGAGCCTCCCACCCTAGTTGAGATTTGCTGATTTAACCTCATGAAGTGTGGGTGCACGGGAGTGCTTGTCTTTAGTAGCTCTGACTGAATTAAAGATTACTGCTCTCTGAGGTGAATGCAAGAATGGCAGTGAACACCATGGCCTGACAAGGTGCTGGCCCTCTCTCTCATGCTTAAAACTAAATTCCTTTTGTTGATTTTGTTTTTCATGCTAATTATGAATGACCATGTCATAGTAAACACCCATACTTACAAATTATGAGCATACACTTTATATTTCACCTGCACATTTCCTAGTGTACCATGCATATCCAAAGCCCTAAAAAAGTGAAAAGGAAATGTTAGGTCCTAAGGGGAAAAAGCTTGTTTAAAGAAGACTCCTGTGTAAAAGAAAGTGGCAATTTTGGCTGAAAGTGGTGACATAACATCGCTTCCCCAGATAATTGTGTGATAAATATTTTAAGTCATCAGAGACAGGCTTGATAGCCTCTTCACAGTTCACATGTGTGTATCATTGAGTGTAGGGAACCCCACCTAGAAGTGCTCAGAGAGCTGTTATACTGCTTCTGGATACTGGCTCTCAGTGGGAACTAGTACCTCACTGGGCAAGATCCAACATCCACTGAGTTGATCACAGGCGAGGCACCACTGAGCTCTTTCTGTGCATGACCTCAGGTCATGCTCCCAGCAGTGAAACCATTGTGGTCCCCATATGGAAGAGCTCAGGCCGGAGCTCAGGCCAGAGCCCAGACAGTCTGATCACAAAGCCCGGGCATGCTCCTCTGTAGCCCATGAGGTTTGAGCTAGGAAGGTAATGTGTGACACCTGTCAGAACGAGATGGCTTTTGTAGTGTCAGATGCTTTGTAGTCAGGGAAACAAGGTAGTAAAATCTGTTTTACTAAGGCATGCAAAAGGTAATTAGCATCTAAACAACAGGGTCATGGTTGGTTTTTGCACTTATTTTTAGGATGGAGAGACGTGGCAATATGTTTTATACAAAATTTTTTTCCAAATTGATTTATTATTATTTAGGGGTGATTCTTTTCCATTGCCAAGGCAGCATGTTGCCATAATGTTTATTTATGTTACTTGTCACCATTTTACACTGGTGCCTTTCAAGATAAGCCTCAGCTAGATTTCAGTTGTCAAGTGCTTGTTTTCCTCAGTGCCCCCAGAAAATAATAATCCAAGGAATGCCACACTGAGAGGTGGAAAAATTAATCTTGGTGTTTTTGCACTTTAGAAGAAAGTTGAAGGGAGAGAAAGAGATTAGATAGTTTATAACAGTGCTTATATGGAAAATAAAACATACGGTGTCCATTTGGGAAACACATTTGCTTATTTCTGCACAGCCTTTGTGCTCTCCTTCCTTTTACCTCTACTTTGATTCCAGATATAAAGGACATATAAACTAATAGGAATTTGAGAAACCAAGAATCCATAATATCAAAAATTGCATGTTTTGCTTAAAATAATTCTTGCCCTACCCAAACTAGAGAATGCTCGTCCCAAGGAGTGCTAATTGGTGTTTCCCGAGGCAGCTCTGTGTGATGTGGTCCAGGAGCAAGCACATGATTTTACCACCAGACAGATGTCACAGTCTCCATAATGATACATTCCTTCTGAGCAAGTCCTGGTCTCTTAGCACAATGATGTGTGGTGCTCAGATTGAACAAAGCTGGATTTGCAAATCCTGTAAGAATGTGGGGTGGAAAAAATTCCTAAATTCTCATGTGAAATATTTTTTTTTAATCTCCAACAGAATAATCCAGTCCTAGCACCTCCAAGCCTAAGCAAGATGATCCAAATGGCCGGAGAGATTGCAGACGGCATGGCATACCTCAATGCCAACAAGTTCGTCCACAGAGACCTCGCTGCCCGGAATTGCATGGTGGCTGAAGATTTCACAGTCAAAATTGGAGGTGTGTCTTTAGCTTTCCAGATCTGACCAAGAACTAAACTCACAGGTGTTTGGGGGACCTCACTGGCATTATCCTATCCCTGGAGAGGTTTTCCAGCACATCTCTTGAGTGCCAAGACTCACTCTTGGGAACAGTGTGATCATCTCCAGTTGACAGTCAATCACAAACTGTCTGGGCTGGGCTCTAATACTGACAGCACATGAGCGCAGTGGTCCAGGTAGTGGCCTTGGTCCCCGAAGTTGCCTTTCTTGGCATTTGAGGCATTTCTTGGTCAAACATTTCTCAGCATTGGTTGCAGAAATAATCAAGACAGTGTCCTCAGGTGGTTTTGACTTAGGAATAAAAGTTATCCTCCAAACTGCCAATCTTCCCTGCAATTTTCCAAGCTTATAAGGGGTACTGTGCGCTCCTCCCCCACCCAGGGGTCCACATTGTTTTCTAAAAGGTGAGGTGCCCTACTGGAGAAGAACCTGCATAAAGCAGGAGCAGGTACAGGGACCGGCAGAGCAGCCCCTCAGCTGAGGGAAGATTGCTGCTTACTGGGTATCACACCTGGGGCCAGTCAACCCACAAGCTTAAGTCCCAGTGCTGCCACTAATGGATGAGGGACTTGGGGCAGGTGCCTTAAATTCTGTGAGCCTCAGTTTCTTAGCCTCTGAAATGGGGAGTGATAATACCACAAATCCCATGAGATTGGGACGGACTCGGTGCAGGAAAGAACTAAGCTCTTGCCTGGTGTGGGACAGGCCTCAGTAAACATGAGTTCCCCATCCAGAGTACACAGTGGGAACTCAGTTAATGCTGCTTCCCTCTTTGCATCACAGTGGGAGAAGCATTTTTATGGCACTTGCCATTTTAAATCCAAATCAGCAAGGGCTGTATTTGCTGTTTAACCATGTGGCATCTTTGTAGTGATATTTTCTTTGTAATTGTGGTTTTTCTTTCTAAAATTGAAAATTTTTCTCTTGTGTTCAGGAAGAGATAGTTTGTGTTTTGTTCTGGGATTTCTTCTTTTCCATTTTGTTCAAGTAAAGGCAAATCCTCTAATTTGCATGTCTAATTATCTCTGGATTAATTCAGAGGTAAGACTTCAACACTTCATTTTTATTTTTCACGAGGGCTTAGAAATGTTTTCCCACTGCCCAGTGTCTCCTGGATAACAACCATGATGAGTGATTTTACCGGAAGCAGTTTGATGGCCCTCAGCATAGCGCAAGTAAATTACGTTGGTTAATGTCCAGAGAACTTAGTTCTCTGTGCATTTGCTTTATAGCCTTACCTCCTTGTGGCATGAGTTAGAGACATGGATGAACATTTTTAAAAAGTAGCACAGCCCTTTCTCCTGGGAAGGAGAATGGAAGAGTCCATGTACAAAAAGGTGGTATGGGGGTCCGGCCCGGTGGTGCACTGCTACAGTGCGCCGCTTGGGAGCGTGGTGGCGCTCCCGCCGAGGGTTCAGATCCCACATACAGACCGGTTCCTGCTCACTGGCTGAGCGAGGTGCGGGAGCAACACCTAGGGTTGTGATCCCGTTGCCGGTCCGGTCCGGGCGCGACACTGAGGGTTGCGATCCATTGCCGGACACAAAAAAAGACAAAAAGGAAAAAAAAAATAAAAGGTGGTATGATTGAGTGGAAAATCAAGCTCTGACAAAGAAGCAATAATTTAGGATTATAAAGCAAGCCTGCCATCAAACATAATTATGTGACATCTTCTGCACACGTGAAAAATGGAAGAAATTTTCAAAAACAAGTGGGAGTGTTATGTTTAAAAACAGTATCAAAGGGCCGGCCCGGTGATGCACTGGAGAGTGCACCGCTTGGGAGTGCGGCGGCGCTCCCGCCGAGGGTTCGGATCCCATGTGGAGACTGGTTCCCGCTCACTGGCTGAGCGCGGTGCGGGTGCAACACTGAGGGTTGCGATCCCGTTACCGGTCAGTAAAAAAGACAAAAAGGAAAAAAAAAAAAAAGAGCACCACAGTCCTCCCCTCAAATGGTAGGAATCCAAGCTCACTGCCCTCTATTCCAGAGCCATCAGAGCTGAGCTGGTAGAGATTACAGGATACTTGGGGAGAGAGAAGGCAGGTCCCAACCACGGGAAAGGTTGGTATTTCCAAGGTAGGGGTTGGGAGATGGCACACTGGGAGGGAGATTAAAGGAGGGCAGAAACATATGATCAAAAATTGGAGAGATAGGGCCAGCCCGGTGATGCACTGGAGAGTGCACCGCTTGGGAGTGCGGCGGCGCTCCCGCCGAGGGTTCGGATCCCATGTGGAGACTGGTTCCCGCTCACTGGCTGAGCGCGGTGCGGGCGCAACATTGAGGGTTGCGATCCCGTTACCGGTCAGTAAAAAAAGACAAAAAAGGAAAAAAAAAAAAAAAACAGTATCAAGTAGTAGCTTCAGGGCCTCGCAAATAGCATCTCTCAGGCGTCTCACTGTACACTTCTGTTGTCATAAATTGTCTGTCTGAAAATTTTTTTCCTTATTAAGCAGTGAAACTACCCACTTTCCTCTGGTGATGGACAATGCTACAAAGTAAATGAGTCTGCACACTCTTGTTTATTTGATCAAGTTTTTAAATTACATATAAATGACCCTTGGTCTATGCAATACATATTTTCTTGATAAATCTTGGGACTTGATAATTTGTAAACTGCCTCTGATTTTAAATGCAATAACGGGAATCACTTCTTAAAGGACTGAAATTATAAATATGTTAAAAGCAGAGATTCTTTGTATTTGCTTGCCATACAACTAATTATCCCTTACTGTTTCTGCCTTATAAAATTGCAAACCCTAATATTTGGCCTCCTTTAAGTGGAGCACATCTTTGCCCCACTTTTGATCATGGGGGGTGTAGGGCCCTTTGCTGTGGCAGCAACAGCACTTTTGTTTCTGCCCCGGGAGCTGCTCCAACAGTGTGACTCTGTGCATTCTCTTCACCTTACAGATTTTGGAATGACACGAGATATCTATGAGACAGACTATTACCGGAAAGGAGGGAAAGGGTTGCTGCCCGTGCGCTGGATGTCCCCTGAGTCCCTTAAGGATGGAGTCTTCACCACTCATTCAGACGTCTGGTATGAGAGCCTTTTGCTGCAGTGCTAGCCCAGAGCCCTCCAGCCTCTAGAAATCCCACTGGCTCACTCTCCACGGCTTTAGTGTTCTCCTGTTCTCTTTTCATTGTTACCTGTTTACAGCTTTAACTCAGTGTTACATCGGCCACAGTCCTTTATCTTTGAGGTGTTCCTGTTGTCAGTGGGCTTGCTACAGACAGAAGTACACTTGTGGGACACTAAAGAATTTGCGGGACCAACATTTCTTTCTATCTTCAGATACTGATTGTGCTCCCAGGAGCCAGGACATGCCAAGAGCCTTTGCCTCTCTCTACTTTTCCTCCTGGCTGCCTTCTCTCTCTTTTCCTCCTTCTCAGTTACTCTGTGTGCGTGTGTGTGTCTGTCTGTCTGCCTACCTCCCCTGATTTAACCTGATTTAGACCCAAAGCTGATGAATATTGTGTTTCCTGTTGGTACCATCCTCTGTCCTCTTTCAATGTTCATCCGTCATCTTTGACCCGGGAATGGTTATGAGAAGCAAAACGTGTCCCCTAATAATAAAAGTGTCTTGCAGTGGAAGCTAATCAGCTACAGGGTACAGAGGCTTCTCAGCAATACTGTTTATTGTAGTTCCTCAGCAACATTCTGGAGAGGCAGTCAGGTTCTGAAATACAACCAAGGTTCTTGGCAGGCTAAGGCCCTGGCACATACACCTAGAATGTCAGGTAATATCTTGGCTTTCCTCTTGGGAGATCCCATTGCTGTTGTGTTACAGAAATGGAAGCTATTTACTCCAGCTGTCTGGATGACGACAGAGAGAAACTATTTCAATAGTGACCGACGTCATTTTTTTTTAACCTTGTGAACCTTTCATAGTTTAAGGACCTTGGATCTTATTTTGAAGACAGGTGCAAATTGGAAATAGCATTTGAATATGACCCAGCAAATGATTGCTTCTTGAGCAATCTTTTTTGCAACCATCTTGTCCAAGAGGGTTATCTCTTTACTGTCAAATCAAAGTCCTCTGCATCACTTTTAGAGATGGAGCTGGCAGAAGAGGGCAAGCCTGGGTGTGCGCATGTTCTGTTTATTCTAGACTTTGTACCTCTGAAAGCTCTGAGGTCAGCTTACAGGATGAGAAAACTGTGAGAGCGAGGGAGAACAGAGGCAGGGTCGGAAGGGGTCATAAGATAAAAGCTGGAGTTGTTAATATCTCACAGGCTAATTTTACCCAAATTGTTAGCAGCTTTTGCTACAGGTGGCAACAAAGGGCCATATAGGCATACTGACTGCTTCACTGTTATGAACGAGTAAGGGAGATATATATATAAACAAGAATAAGTATTTGATATTCATTCCATTAAATGGTCAGGCATTGACAGTGTTTTAGATTTTTTGTTTGTTTTTTTTTTTAACACAGCCTTTGAGGATAGCACAGGTGGGGAAGGCTAGGATGTTGGAGTTTTTGGAAGGTTTCTTGACTGCCCAGGCTCTAAACTGAAGCTGTCCCTCTCAGAAATGGAAATTGTTTCAGATTGTATTCAGAAGCACAAAACAATCATTCCTAAATAGTTAAAATCTAGAACAAAATACAAAACATCGTATTTGACTTTGTGGAAGAGACCCCAGAATCTCAGGATTGGAAGGTGTCCCTGAGGTCAGGCCCAGTCCCCGAATCCCATCCCTGGCGTCTCTGGCAGCTGGTGACTAGGCTGTTGAAGTGTTTGCAGGGACTGTGTGTTCACTGCCCCACAGGGACAGGCCAGCCTGATTCTTCAGATGTCCTTGCTCTCAGCAAGCCTTCCTCATGTTGTGCTTCAATCAGCCTCTCCGTGACACCTGTTGGCCCTTCTCTTTGTAGCACAGTTGCACACCCTGCTCTCTTCTTGATAAGACAGGCCTCTGAGTCATCCAGGGAAGTATCTCTGTTCTCTAGCAGGAACACCTCCAGGTTTCTGGCTGTCATCAAGACTTGGTTCCCAGGCCCCTGGGCCCTGTGGCTGCTTCTCCTGCAGCTCCCCTGTTGCACGGTGGCCTATCAGATAGCTTGCTTGGGTTAGAAGACCCAAGTGTGCCCTCTAGACGTGGAGTTGTACCCCTCAGCTTGGAGTGCTCTTTTCCTGAGTATCTGGGTTGCTCTACGGACAGTCTTCATTGCTTTACTTACTAAGGAACTTTCCAAATGGTCACCTGTATCTAGGGTTATTTGCTGCTTTAGAGGCTAATCACCATGTGGACTTCTCTGTAGGTTTCAATTTGCTGGTAGGTTGGACACTAGCACAACCCCCCAGTGCAGGCAAAAGTGGTTACTACAGGCAGACTCCAGCCAGTACCAACACTGGGGTGAGGCTCACACACACAACCTCAGTGTTTTAGAAAAGACTTTAAGGGGAGGCATTTGTCTAATGCTTAAAAATTAAATCTGTCCATAAAATACAAGACTTGGTTTTCTATGAAGGCGTTAACAGCCACCACTGCATAGTAGGTACCTGCTTTGAAGAACGTGAAAGTGTTGCATATGTTTCCATGCCTCTGACTGGCTGTGTGGCCTTGGTGACATCACAGGGCTTCTCTGGCTTGGGTTGCTCATCTGTAAGGTGAGAACTGTCCAGGGATGTCTGTGGTACCTCGATAGATGTTTAAGTGGCTCCTGCAACAACCAGTGTTGGGTAGAGATGGCTCATCTTCCGTCTTGTGGAGCAGAAAAACGATGGGACCCAGTTGTCACACTGGCTGTGAAGGATGACCACAGACTCCAGCACCAAGTGGCTCTCAGTGGTGGGTGATACTGACATATCACAGACCAGAGCTGCTCAGGAGAAAGCTTTTCCAGTTCACCTCAACTAGCATTCGCAGAAAGCCAAGTCTGTCACCTGCTGTGTTATTTCCTGTGTGTGGTTGTGAGGTGCTCCGTGTATGGAAGATGCAGGGCGAGGAGAAACACTGTCCCATCCTCGAGGGATGAAGTCTCATGGAGAAGAGGAAGTGATCCTGACAGATTGGGGTTGCGGAAGCCTGAACGGAAGAAAGGAGGTCATGAGGGCACCTTAAAGTGTGGATTGTCACCAGCGGAGCAACAGGAAGGGGATTCCTGGCATCAGCTTGCTGGGGGAAGATGTGGCCATGGGAAGCACTGGCAGCAGGTGGAGGACAATGGGGCTTCCTGAGGGAGTCAGGCTGGAGAGAGATCGAGGCAGGCCTTGGATATTGTGTTAGGGGGTTGGAAGTGCCTCTGCAGGCTCTGCAATGACTGAAGGCTCCTGAACAGGAGAGTGACCTAAGCTGTGTTTTAAGAGGTGCATGTCAACTGGAGCATAAGCAGCCCAGGCATCAGTCTATTTGTAAAGCTTCAGCCAAGCGAGGAGCCATCAGCACCGTGGAAGTGCTTGGGGGGATGAGAGAAGGGGACAGACCTTGGGACAAATCTGAGCCTGAATTGGCAAGTCGTGGGGGGACTCAAAGGAGGCGAGGGTGACCGCAGGGGGCACCACCTGGGTGGGATGGGCATCAACTGCAGGGAAGAGGCCAGAAGAAGAATGGGTCATGAGGCAGTTCCGTGTGAGACGTTGAGTTCGTGGGTAGCCAGTAACTGGAAGCTTGGAATAGAGCAGCCGGGGCTGTGAGGGCTGGGGTGGGAGCCGTCCAGTGAGAGTTGGCTGCCTGGAAGACCCTGACTTAGCCAGGGAATGTGTGGGGCAGAAGAAGGAGTGGGCCGGGAGGGAACCACAGCCTCGGATCACTTGTCAGAGCAGCCTGCAGTCAGCGGACCAGAGCTTGCCGTCTGGTACTGTGCCACCTTCAGCCGGCAGGGTCTGCGCTGCAGCCTCCCAGGCACACCACTGATGCGACTGGGCAGATTCTGGAAGGCAGGGCTTCCACCGCTAAAGTTGATAGGGAACCCATTTTGCTGGGTCCGGGCCTGTCAAAGCCACGCTTTGGCCACTGGGTCTTTGGCTTTCCAGTTCTCTTGTCCAACACGAAGATGACTTCTTGGTCACTGGCAGCTACAAAGGACCTTGGGTTGGTCAGTCCTCTGATTGCTAAGATTCTATTTCTGTCCAACATCTGCTTTTAGTATCAACTTGTACAAAAGCCTTTTGTTTGTGGAAAGCAGCTGAAGCAGCGAATAAAGGGCTCTGATTCCGCCTCAGAGGCCTCTGGTTTGGATGCAAGGCTGGGAGCCCAAGAGCCCTGGGTGGGAAACACCTTGTGCTAGGTTTTTCAGTGAGGCGTGGCACACACCCCTAGCCTGCGACAGTGCCGGCAGAAGCCCCCCAGGCTGCTTCTGATGAGCTGCCTGCTCTAGTGCACTGACACAAACCCAGCATGAGGGCTTAAGGCCAGGGAGAATTTGTAAATGGGAATTTGCCCCGGGAAGTTGTGTTTATTTTGCAGATTACAGCATTGCCTTTTTTTAAAAATCATGATCTATCTTGAATTTCTATGCACATGTACTCTCTGTTTTGTTTTCCAGTAGTTTGATCTTCTAAGCCAGTAGGCTAAAGTGCATGCATGGCAGAATCACTCACTGCTCTGCCTGCAGAATTTATTCCTCAGCCAGCCTCTGTGCTTAAGGATTTTGTGATGTCCAGGATATCCCCACTAGCCAGTGTGGCCTACCCGATCCCCTTACCTGTGAGACAGGGGCTTCCTGGGCCAGCAGCTCCCAAGCTTTGTGGGGCAGGGGTTCTCTGCTCCCTTGGCCCAACAGACCTCAACATCCCTGTAGAGCTTTTAAACATCCCAAGGCCCAGGCCCCCACCCCAGATCAGTCAAATCAGAGCTGCTGTTGTGGGCACAGGCATCAGTCTGTTTGTAAAGCTCCCCAGGAGATCCTCTTATGCAGCGTTGTTGAGGCCCACTTGGGTACAGGTTTCTGGAACTGCTGATGATAAGAATCACCTGAGGAGCTTATGAAACAGCCTCACTTGAGGCCACTAAATCAGCGTCCAGGCTGGGGCCTGGGGGGGTCTGCATTTTATTATCTTTGGGCTAAAGCAAGTTAGGAGACACTGCCCTGCTGGGTAAATGGCTGACTAGATGAGGACCTCTGTATGCCCTGGGTTCAAGTCAGAGGTCAGGTGCTTCCTAACCATGTAAGGGACAATGTAAACTCTCTCAGTGTCAGCTTCCTCAGCTCTGCCCCCAGGGTTGTAGTTGCTCCACAGGGAACATTAGCAGTGACAAAGGACCAATGTCCCACTCTCAGCCCAGTGCCTGGCTGGCCATCTGACAGGCATTGTCACCACAGCCTAGACAGTTTTCCAGTACCCAAGGTGGAAGAAATGCTGGCAAGGAGGGGGCAGCATGGTCCTGCCCATCCCTGTCCAAGCTTCTCACGTTTCTTTTCTCACTGTAGGTCCTTTGGAGTTGTCCTCTGGGAGATTGCCACGCTGGCCGAGCAGCCATACCAGGGCTTGTCCAATGAGCAGGTCCTTCGCTTCGTCATGGAGGGTGGCCTTCTGGACAAGCCGGACAACTGCCCCGACATGCTGTATGTATTTCTTGAGCCCCCTTAGCTGTCTTCCAATTTCTTTTCTCAAAGAGCTGTTGTCCCAGGTCTCCTGAGATTACTAATTCTGGGAGCTATTCTCCGTGGTTCTGTGGGTGCTGTGACGGTCAGGAGCGATTTAGAAGAGGGTCTGTCCTCACGGAAGGAACTGAGTGTGGAAGAACCTGTACCTTTGTGCGGGCACCTGACTGCCACCCCATATTCCTTCATCCTTTAGTTCTCACTTGCAGTTTGCACTGTGGCAGGATAAGGCCACCAGTGGACAGGAGGCTGTGCTCCTCAGGGCAACGCGTAGGGACAGAGGGCGCTGGGTTTCCTCATCGAAGAGACCTCCCAATAGAGCCTCTTCAGAACTCCTCAACCCAAGCTGGAAGAGACTCAAAAGGCCTCTTTTGCATTTTCTTGCTCAGCATAGAAATTCTCCCGGTCCCCACCTGTATCCGTTTTTTTTTTTTTTATCATGGTATATATAACAAATTACCCAAAACCTGATCATTGAAAATAACAGCAAGCGTTTATTATCTCTTGGAGTTTCTGAAGGTGAGGAATTGGGAACAGCTGAGAGGGCCGGCTCTGCTCCGAGTCTCTCATAAGGTTGCAGTCCAGCTGTCAGTGGGCCACAGTCACCTGAAGGCTTGTATGGGGCTGGCAGGTCCCCTTCCAAGGCCATGGGTTCACTCATGTGGCTGTGCCCCATGCTGGGCCTTAGTTTCTACACAGACCTCCCCATGGCACTGCTTGACTGTCCTTATGATGCGCAGCCGGCTTCCCCTAGAGCAGGGGTCAGCAAACCCTCTCCCTAAAGGGTCAGATAGTAACATGTTTGGTTCTGTGGGCCTAAACGATCTTGACTGCAGCTGCTCACCTCTGCTATTATGGTGCAAAAGCAGCCCTAGACATCACATGAATGAGTGCTCCAATAAAACCTTACTTTTGGATACTGAAATTTAGATTTCACATAATTCTGTGTTGTCACAAAATATTATTTTTATTTTATTTTTTTTCACATTTACAAATGTGAAAGCCATTCTTCACTCGTAAGCCATACGAAGTCAGGCAGTGGCCCAGATTTGGCTTACCCTGCCCAGAGTAAACAATCCAGGAGAAGAGCGGAAGCCACAGTCTCTTCTGAGCCAACCTCAGAAGTCACTCCACGGTCCCCACTGTCTCCTCTGGGTTGCACGGTATGGGAAGGGACTACCCGAGGGCATGAGTGCCACAGGCAAGGATCACTGAGGGTCTTAGAGGCTGGCTATCCATCTCCAGTGTCCCTCACAGGTGACTGCTCTCCACATTGAACAGTGTGGCTGCTGTATTTTTACCAGCCCATTATAAGAAAAATCTTCCTTGAGAGCCAAAATATAAGTGATGGATTGTGAGGACTGATGCCTACTTAGTTTGCATTAAGGTGCACGGTACCAGCATAGAGGCCAGAACTAGGATCGGCATGTTTTAGAAGCTTAGAAACAGTCCAAGAAAGCAGCTATGAGTTCTCCTGTGGTTTGGGCTGGTGGCGGCAGGTCCTGTTCTTGTGCTTTCTTTTTGACTCGGGTAAATGTTTATCTCTGAGAAACTTGTGGGACTCGTAAGGTTGATCCACCTCCAAATGACTGGAGTTTTAATATGAATTTAATATGCCTGGGAAGCGGCCCACCTGCCATGGGAAAGGCAGAGTGCTTCCTGTTCCCAGCATAGAGTGACAAGGAAATTCACGTGAGAGTTTACTTTTGGATATTAAATGTTCAATTCAGGAGGCATTTCTGCTTTGCCATCCAGAACCCCCTGGGCGAATTTTTCTCCCTTCCAAGAAAAGAACGTAATGAAAGGGAGCAGGTTGGCTTCATAGGGAGAATCTGTGTTGTCCTTCTGAATTTACTGACAAGCTTAGGTGAGGGAGTGTTCTAAGAGAGGGGATCTTTTGTTGCAAGAAATGAAAGAATGGCCTCTGATTATCCCGGAGGAGAGGAGAGTCACTGAGCCCTTGTGAGTTGTCTGAAACCTCTGCTGGGTCCGCTGTGGGAGAGAAGGCACTTCAGCTGTGTGCTTCTGAGGTCTGAACAGCCTCCCTCTGGCAAAGCTGGGGCGGGGACACAATGGCTGCTGGTGAACTTTGGCTCAGCATTGGGAGGATCCCTTAGCTGTTTAGCAACACCTGCGTATGAAGCAGGTTGCCTCAGGAGTATTGCTTGAGTATCCTGAGATCAGATATGGGTTGTGGTTCCCTGCCAGATCCACATTTTAAATTGACTTTGAAGTCCATCCTTAATCCTCCCTTATACTCGGATCTTGGCACTCACCACAAAGGTTATTGAGCCTCTTTGGGTACATGGTGACTGTGGAAATCACAAAGATGACTGAGGAGTGGTCCTAGCTTTCATGAAATCAGGTGGCATAAAAGGACCCAGCACCAACTCTGTGGGATAAAAGTGAGGGCAGAGGTGTGAACTCAGCCCTAAAAACTCAGTCAACTTGTTCTGCTGGTAACATTTCCACAATGCCACAGGTCAAGGCTATGCCAGGGAAGTCTTCAGTATGCAGGAAAGAATTGGAACTTTTTAGCCCAGAGATGTGTCCAAAATCCAGTAGAATGGGTGTTTTTGTAGTTTTCAATATGGTTTTTCCTGTTGTGGATGAAAGCCCCTACATGGCTGGGAGTTCTGGGCTGCTCTGGTGAGAAGCAAGTGCTTGAGTAAGGTCTGCACAAGCAGAAGTGACCACCCCTGCACGAGCTTTGCCACCTGCTGAGAAGTGGTTCATGAGACAGCCTTGCAGGTCCTTTCTGGAATCCGGTCTCTCTGCTTTGAGAGCTATCCTGCACAGATCACAGCATGTCCAGTTCAGGTTGGGGGCGAGGGCCAAGAGCGGGTGGGAATACAGAGATGCCTCGGCATGCTTACCCCCGGCAGTCCCCAGCTTCCTGGGGTCACAGCTGTCTCCTGGACAGCTGCTTCACAGCAGGGCAGGGGTTCCATTTGAGTCTTCCCCTGCCCCAGGTGAAGGAGGGCTGCGTGCAGGCCCCTGAATAGGGGAAGCATTCAGTAAAGGACAGCTCCAGATTCCCAGAGCTAATCGGTGGTAAAAAATGTGCTTTTTAAAAGAAGAGTTTTATCAGCTCATAAATCCTTCTAGAGTCTACTGGAGAGTTTTCTTGTGGAAATAGTGTAAACAAGGTCTTGAATCCCACAGAGTAAAAAAGACTTCCTTTTATGGGCAGCACTGGAAGGGCTGTGATTCTGGAAGGATTTAAAAGGGGTGTCACATGGCTCGTTTGTGCTGATGTCATGTCACTGCATCATTGCACTGCTGGTGGCACCTCCTTGGCCTCCAGCCACGGGGCACAGAGCCAGCCACATCTCGTGTTGTTGGACCTGGCTGCACTTCTATTCAGGGATAAGTCACCCAGGGAGGAGATCACTACCCAGCCAGCGAGATGCATTCTGTGTATTGATGGCCCATTTTAAGTATTTTTGTTTTGTTTTTTGGTCTTTTCTCTTAGGAAGCAGTGGGGGTATCAAGGCAGATTTGTTTGCCCCCCCTGACCGGAGAGGAACCACAAACTAGCTGCCAGTTCATCAGTGCCAAACAGACCAGGAGAAGGAGGGTCTCTTGGCAGGACTGTGGCCACTCTTGTTTAGGTTAAGAGAAAATTCTTCTGAGCTTTCAGCCATCAACGTGTGGCCATTGTGTTTCACAGAGAACTCCATCCCAGCTCCACCTTCACTGGTTTTGTGACCTTGGATAAATGAGTTCATCTCTCGGTGCTTCTGTTTTCTGTTTCCTTACTGATAAAAGAGGGATATATTATAGTAAACAGCACCTACCTGACAGACTTTTGAGGATTGAAGTAGTTCCCACACACAACGCCCTCACTGCCCAATACCCCGTGTGCACTGCTACGGACAGTAACTCAGCACGGCTCGCACGGTTGTGGTCAGCGCTGTGGCCTTGGGGCAGGTGGTTGAGTTGAGAGGTAAAAACTAGCCCACCTTCATGTTTTGTTCAGTTCTTTTTCCACCAGAGCAGGCGTCAGCAAACTCTTAATATAAAGGGCCACACGGTGTCTGTGTTCTGGTCTTGCAGGCCAGACCAGAACTCTGACCACTCACCTGGCAGTTGCAGCTTAAAGGCAGCCACAGACAATATGTAAATGGTGGGCATGACTCTGCTCTGGTAAAACTGTATTTACAAGAACCAGCAGGAAGCTGGATTTGGCTTGGCTGTAATTTGCTGACCCCTAGACTGCTAGAACATTGAATTCTGGATGGGTCTCCCTCTCAGCCATCTCCTATCTCTCAAGGTCACTTATCCTCCACTTGACTTGACCTGACATCTCCTAAGGAAGCTTACCATGTAGCAGGGTAGCCTTTCTCTTTGCACCCAGCTTCGATGTCCAGTGGGCTTCTGTTACATCGGGGCTATCCCTTGGAGTTTTCCCTGAAGCCAAACGTAAGCAGATGGTCTGTTGGTCAAGTGGTCGGCCTGACAGAAGGCTGGATACCATTTTGGGGTGCTTAGAACTTCCTGGATATGGGGAATTCTATTTGGCCATTTTTACTGAAAGCCATCTCTTTAGCCAGAAGTTTTTAAACAAAACAAAGAATAGACTTTTCCAGCAAGAACAGAGGTAGAAGGAAAGGCACTTTAGTTTCATGCTGCCATGAGACAAGTCCTCTGGCCACTGCCTCTTGGGACCAGACTGAGGCTGGCCTGGACGTTTGCTCACCCACTCTGCTCTCAGCTCTGAAGATCTGTTTAGCTGGTTCTGTACATTCTGGACACCCAGGCCTTTCCTGGGTGGGGCAGCTGTCTGCACTGGCAGCAGCCTTCCCCCTTCTGTGTGTGGCCTGCAGGAGCCTGGCCCATGGCCACGTGACAATGAGGGTTCAGAGGTTTGCAGCTTAAATGCCAGCTGATGTGGCTGAAACTGCACAGGCTTCACCCTCTGTTCTCTGCCTGTCCCTTGCATGTGGTGGGGTTGCGGGTCTTGCCCAGGGTTCTCCCTCACTGGCTTGTTGGGATCTGGTTTCAGGTCTACACTAGGACTCATTTGGCTCAACATAGCCTGGGTCACAGGTTGGTGTTCTGCCATCACGGGGCACTTGGCAAGCAAGTGCTAAACTGAGACAGCCAGTGTGCAGCCCTGCTATCTCCTGCTTCCTCCTTCCTCAGGTCCTCTGTCAGGGGTCCCTGCACTGGGAGAAAGCTTAGAAATAGCAGAGGTAGGACTCAGAGAGGGACCACTTGGGTACAACAGGAAGCTGCTTTCACTCTTCAACCTTACTAGTGAGAAATTGGAGGTTTCTTGCATTCTAACTCTGGAAACAAAGTTTAACTAGTGGCTGCAAGAGATGCTTCAGATAGAAAGCTGGTTGTTGGGCCTGCCTGTGGCTCACTCGGGAGAGTGTGGTGCTGATAACACCAAGGTCACAGGTTCGGATCCCATATAGGGATGGCCGATTAGCTCACTGGGTGAGCGTGGTGCTGACAACACCAAGCCAAGGGTTAAGATCCCCTTACCGGTCATCTTTAAAAAACAAAAGTGCGGTGCTGATAGAAAGCTGGTTGTTTTTATTTCTTAGTGCCATCACCATAAATAATGCTTGTAAAAATAATACCTGTAAAAAAATAATGCCTATAACTGTGTGAACCTAGATTTGCCCATCTCAGGAAAGGAGAGGTTGGGCTTTGTACCGTGGTAGGTCCTGGGTTCAGGGTAAAGTAAATGGAATGGTGGGAGTTAAGACAAGAGAGCTGAAGCTACTTGCATCCTCTGGATAGAAAGCCAGAGACTCACCGTAGGCATGGAGGTGGGAACCACAGCCGTGGACATGAGGCTACCTGGTCCATCTTCTGTCTGTCTTTACCCCAGATTTGAGCTGATGCGCATGTGCTGGCAGTTCAACCCCAAGATGAGGCCTGCCTTCTTGGAGATCATAAGCAGCATCAAAGATGAGATGGAACCCAGCTTTCAGGAGGTCTCCTTCTACTACAGCGACGAGAACAAGCCACCCGAGCCAGAGGAGCTGGACCTGGAGCCGGAGAACATGGAGAGCGTCCCCCTGGACCCTTCAGCCTCCTCGGCCTCCCTGCCGCTGCCTGACAGACACGCAGGACACAAGGCCGAGAACGGCCCGGGCCCTAGGATGCTGGTCCTGCGTGCCAGCTTCGATGAGAGACGGCCTTACGCACACATGAACGGGGGCCGCAAGAATGAGAGGGCCTTGCCGCTGCCCCAGTCTTCAACCTGCTGATCCTCGGCTCCCAGATCCCATGCAAACAGTAACGTGTGTGCACACCGGCGGTGGGGTGGGGGGAGAGAAAGTTTCACAATCTGTTCACAAGCCTCCTGTACCTCAGTGCATCTTCAGAACTGCCATTGCTGCCCGCGGGAGACGGCTTCTCTGCAGTAGACACATTTGGGATGTTCCTTTTTTCAGTATGCAAGCAGCTTTTTATTTCCCTGCCCAAACCCTTAACTGACGGCCTTTAAGAACCTTAATGACAACACTTAATAGCAACAGAACACTCGATAATCAAGTCTCCTCAATCTCTCCCTGTCTCTTTCTCTCCTCTCTTCCCCAACACCTCTCTTTCCATCTCCTTTCTCTCTCTTTCTGCTTCATAATGGGGGAAAAAAAAAAAAAATGTTTGCCGCAAGCCCAGCCAGGAAGCCCTTTTTATCAGATTGAGGAAATGGCTGTCCCTGTGCCCCCACGACCCCCTGTACACACCTTCCTGACACCACAGGTCTTTATAAAGGAAAAAAAAAAAAAACACATTGAGATGGAATTTTTTTAACTGTATCTTTAACCTTTTTAGGGATGTATGAAATTTAAAAAGGGCCATCATTCATTCAAGGTTGTTACCATTTTAACGCTGCCAAATTTTGCCAAAATCCTGAACTTTCTCCCTTACAACCCCTGCACTGGTTTTCTCACGTCCCAAGGCATGGGTTGAGCATGGTATCGTTATTCCAGTTAAGAGACATGTTGGTGATGCTCTCCACCCAGCTGTCCCCTGGTGTTCTTTTCAAGTCCCCATTCACACAGGTCTCATTGCTTTTGACTAGGTAATTATTTGGGGGAGCTGGACACAATGGGACTTTCACTGAAGATGGGAGGAGCTGGACTGGCTTCCCTGCCCCAATTTCCGACCCCTACCCTGTAGCCCCAAGAATTTGGGAGAAAGCAAGCCCTGAAAGAGCCCGAAAGACAGGCTTTGAGTCTAGGTGGTCCACACGGCAGTCTCCTCTCCCCAGCCCAGTGCCCCTCCCGACCCCCAAGGACACACATGGGAAGGGGTTTGCAGGGACTCAGCCCAACTGCTTATGCAGCAGGTTTGCAAAGAAAGAAATTCAGATATCATACCACAACAGTAAGAAGAAAAGCAGTAAATGGATTCAAGCATTCTAAGCTTTGTTGACATTTTCTCTGTTTCTAGGACTTCTTCATGGGTCTTACAGTTCTATGTTAGACCATGAAACATTTGCATACACATTGTCTTTAATGTCACTTTTATAACTTTTTTACAGTTCAGATATTCATCTATACGTCTGTACAGAAAGAAAAAAAAAAGCTGCTATTTTTTTTCTTTATCTTTGTGGATTTAATCTATGAAAACTTTCAGGTCTATCCTTCTTCCTCTTTGCTCACTCCAAGAAACTTCTTATGCTTTGTACTAGAGTGCGTGACTTTCGTCCTCTTTTCCCAGTAATTGATACTTATATAACATAATTTTCCATGAACTGTTTGATGCCTTTTGATAAATACATCCTCCCCTCCCTGCTCCCAGTGGCCCCACTAGTTGTTGTCTAACACATAGGCTCTGTGGGCACAAGGCTGGTGAGGGACCGAGGCAGGAGGAAGGCCGGCCACGCCCCTCCCCTCAGCCGTGCTCCCACAGCACTGGAGTCTGTTACAGTGCAAGACATGATACAAACTCAGGTCAGAAAAAAGAAAAGGTTAAATATTTCGCACATCCTTGTTCAGTGTTTATATTCACCATTGTTGAAAGGCCTCACCTTCTCTCTCTTGTCTTTGTTTTGGTTGTGATACACACACATATATATATATATATATATTTTTAATTCTTGGGTACAACAGCAGTTTTAACTGCAGACACTAGGCATTTGGATTGCTTTTTTTAAAATGGATATTTATTCCTTTCATCCCATGAAAAACAGCTGCTGAGTCCAAGGGAGCAGCAGAGCGTGGTCCAGCAGGCCCCTCTGTGGCCTTCCACCACCACCCTCACCAGACCACCCTACCTGTCTTTAGAACCAGAACAGCCCAAGGGACCACCTGTGCGCTGGCAGGGAGTGGGACCCGGGAGCCCAGGGGCAGCATCCTCAAGGGTGATACAAGCCCACTGCCAGGTCTGCTGGCCAGAGTGCCAGGTCAGGGCAGGGCAGACACCCAGAGCCCCGTGCTCACTCCCAGGGGACCAGAGCCCTGGGCTGGCAGGCTTCTCCTCGGCCAGGATTCCAAGTCCTTGGGGCCCGGGGGTCTTGTTTAGTTTAGTTTTTAGCACTTCTCACCAGAGTGACGACAGCACAGAAGGTGCTTCTGGGGTGGAAATGTTTAAATGATGAGTGAGAACAAAGGTAAAATCTGATGACAATTGCTAGTTCTGACTGGAGATTAAACACAGAACAGAAAGTGTAGAGTGCTTTTTTGCTTGTCGGTAGTTTGTCTCACTATTTTCTCTAGCCTCTGTCCCGTAGTGTTTTCCCTTTAAAAAAAAGAAAGAAAGCAAAAGGTTTTATATGTAGGAGTTTTCCTTTAATTTATTTTGTGATATCAGTTTCAGTCACTGTAGAGAAGCCCCATTATGAATTTAAATACTAAGGAAAGGGTTTTTGTGTGGGCGTAAGACGGGACAGTTTTTTTTTTTTTCCTTTCAAGCATTTATCTACCTCGTTCTTATTTTTTGTGTGTGTATATAGAAAAACAATACATCTCACATTTCTCAGCATCCGACAATAGGCCATTGATACTGGTAACCTCATCCACGCCACAGGCCACACACCCAGGTGACGCCGGGAGAGGCCAGGCTGTATTCCGGGGTCAAAGCAACACTAACTCCCTTTCCGCTCATTTCAAACAGCTTGCCTTTTCTGAGATGTCTCACTTCGTGTTGCTTTTGTTTTTTTCCCCTAACTTACTTTCCTAAAAAGTCGCAAGGCGTTAGTATGTTTACCTCCCAGCCCAGCAGCCCCTTGAGGCCAAGGAGGGCACGCGAGCACAGCAGGGGGCCAGCTGGCTGATCCTGGCTGGTGGTCTTTGGAACCAGCTACTTTATGCAGATTGAATGACTAACACATTTCTTCACTAAGAGAGCAGATGTTCCCTAGGTTGTGAGGACAGCAAGGTGCAGAGGATGGCAGACAGTGTCTCTGTGCAACACCCACGTGTGAATGTGTGTGGTGTTTTACTCCTTGGACTGTTCCTCTTGCAGCCTGGCACAAGGCCTGTGCCAAGGCAGGGACAGGCCGCTGTCACTGCTGCTGCTGCGGTGGCAGCCATCTGAAAGAAAGCTTGGGCCACCTGGCCTTCTCAGAATGAAGAGCTTGCCGAAGCATCAGCCCACCTGAGATAGACTGTCCATGGGAGCATTGTCCCCTCCTCTCCAGACTACTCTTTCCACATTGCCCCCCTCTCCTCCTCCCCAGGGACAAACAAACCCGCCACACCTTGGGCTGGCAAGGCCAGTGGTGGGCTCGAGCCTCCCCCGCGGCCTCCCGTCCTGCTGCTCACAGGGTGGACGGCGCTGCCTGCTTCCAGCAGCTGCTTGCACAGGCACTGTGATTTTAGCTGAGAAGCGTGGCGGGTGGTTTTCCCCAAGTGTGGACAGCTCCTTTACAGTCACAGTACTGCAGTTAAGCTCGGAAGCCTTTGCCCTCCTGCAAGAATACTGCCCTTCTCTCCCACATCCCCAGGGACCTTTTGATCAGGGTTTTCTTCTTCCAGGTTATAGATGACCCCTTGGAATAATGGCCTCTCCTCTCTTTTGCACATACTTACCGGTTTCCACAACTGGATTTCTACAGATCATTCAGCTGGTTAAACTGTCTGAGTCGTTGGTGTCGTTTTCTTTTGTTTTACGTAGGTGGTTTTTCTTTAGAAAGAAAACACTAACAGTGTAGTGCCCATCATAACAAATGCTTCAGAAACACTTAATAAAAGAAAATTTTGCTTGTGTGAGGGTGCAGTCTTTATACTGGACCAACCCACCCACCTCAACTCTACCAAGGCATCATCTATCCACAGTTCTAGTCTAATTTTATGCTGATTTACCCACCTCTTCTTGATTTTTCTCTTTCGTTATGTTCCAAATAATCTTATCAAGCTGAGTTGTGGCATTTTCCTTGCAATCTCCTGACAGCAGCTCGCATTGCTTGAAGTAACGTGAACCACTGAGGCACATCACTGAGCTGATGTGAGCATTAAGACATTCTCACACACAGCCCTTCCCTGAGGCAGCAGGAACTGGGGTGTTCTGGAGATGTTGAACTTAAGCTGTGTGAGGCCCAGACCATCACCCGTCTCCATTATGGGATGTCGTGACGTTTGACATGCAGTTGGAGTGAGCTTCCTCCTTGGAAGATAGAAGACGGTGTTTGTGGCCAACACGGGCCTCTCCTTACAGCCTGTTTCTTAAGACTCAAACCACCTTTCAATGGTAGGAAAAGTGGCTTTGCAAACTAGGAGAGACGTTATTGTGAGCTACCAAGTGGAAAATGCTTGGTACGGAGTGGCGTGTTTGGGTTGGGATGACAGATCTACGAGCCAAGTATGCTATCAAACTAGACCAGTTTGTTCCACCAAAGCCTCTCTCAGCAGCCCCCCTGTGTTGGCAGGTGGCTGTTGTGGCAAAGTCACACTGGGCTCAGGTGGGTGAGCAGACTAGGATGCTCGTCCAAGGTCCTCAGCCGTCACTGCTGGGTCCTCCCAGGGCTGCCAGACAGTGCTGAAGACAACTCCTTTCCCAAACATAGGCATCCTCCAGGTGACAGTAGCACTTGATGGTATGCCTTGACCCACTCCAGCAGTCCCAGTAATGCATTTAAGGTTTGGGGTTTGTTCTTTTGTTAATGTTACTATTAATGTTTGTCACCTGTCTTTTCATTTCCTGGGCTAAGCAGTGTTGGGAGACATGGCCCAGAGATCCACTTCTTAAGAACCAGTGATGAAAGCTGAACTTTCTTATTCCACTTTGGAGTAGTTGGTGGTACAAATGAGAACCTTAAGAGAGGATGTTATTAAACTGAACCTCTGTTGCCAGAGATGCTGAAGATACAGAGCTTGGACAGGCTGGAGGTTTTGGTTTTTGGCCTCCAACTTAGGTGACTAGTGGAATGACCAGGCAGCAGGAAAGCACTGTGACAAGGACAGCGACACAAAGAGAAGACCTGCAGGTGGAAGGGGGTGGGGCTTGAAGACGCGTAGGCCGTGTTTTGAACTTGATGGTTTCTGAAGGTATCAGACCACATGAAGGCTCGACAGTCATCCGTGGGCATTTGGTTTCAGCAAACAAACCTAACATCCTACTCTAGAAACTTATCTAAGAGTTCAGTCACGTTGTTGAAGATCTCGAACTATATCGCACTCCTCAGTTGACTTGTCAGTTCTGGGGCATGACTTTAGAGTTTTATTTTGTTAATGCAAGATAATGATAATCACTCATTTATATGTCCACGTGTGTGTCCGCATCTTTCTGGTAAACATTGTTTTAATTAGTCATTCATTAGCATTTTCAATAGGGCTCCTGAGTCCAGTAGATTACGGGTAGTCAGTTGACGAAGATCTGGTTTACAAGAACTAATTAAATGTTTCATTGCATTTTTGTAAGAACAGAATAATTTTATAAAATGTTTGTAGTTTGTAATTGCCGAAAATAATTTAAAGGCACTTTTTTTCTCTGTGTGTGCAAATGTGTGTTTGTGATCCATTTTTATTTTAGGACACCTGTTTACTAGCTAGCTTTACAATATGCCAAAAAAGGATTTTTCCCTAAGCCATGCCATGGCTCATCCTCTTTTCCCCCATGCTTTGTGCCCTAGTTTATAAAGGAATGATGATGATTTAAAAAGTAGTTCTGTATCTTCGATATCTTGGTCTTCCAGAACCCTCTGGTTGGGAAGGGGATCATCTTTTACTGGTTATTTCCTTTGGAGTGTAGCTACTTTCACAGCTGGAAAGAACCTCATTGGTCATTGAAACAGCAGAAGCATTGCAGCCCAGCGGCGCAGGGCCCTGTTCAGCATCTGCTTTGGTTGGTCCGGTCGTTGTCACTGTCATGCAGTGCCATCGAGCTGGGAAGACTTGACTGCACACACAGCTTATGTTTCACAGTGATCGCAGCACACAGATTGGTCACATGAAAGGTGATCATTCTGGGGCACACAGGCCATTTGCTAACATGCCTCATATCATGATTAATGCTTTGTTAGAACAAGGAAAAGACCCTTTATTTTTAGTTAAGGCAGAATACTGAAGATACACTTTCCCAATACAGAACAGATTCTATTCAATAAAAACTATAACGCAATTTTGTTGTTGTTCTTTGACTCCATTTCCTCTAGCTCCCAATGGATTATTGGCCATGTCTATACAACTCTACAAAATACCCATCTTTGGAAACATTTGGAATTTTCACACTACATAGGAGAAAGGTCCAGAAACAATTTGGTTTTTGTTTTCAGCTCTTCATTTGGGTGTTTGGCATTGCCGACACATCCACAGGTGGAGCAGATGCCTGGTGAAAACACCTGTCTGCTTTCTAAGTCAGTGAGGTTGAGGTGAGAGGTTTGCCAGAGTTTGTCTACCTCTGGGATAGAAAAGATCAAACTAGAAGGCGCAATGGAATGGAAGCATTGCAAATAGTGCATTTTCTGAGTTTTGTTTTAAAACGTTTTTTTTAAAAGTAAAAAAAAAATGGTAATAACATGGCCAATTTGTTACACAAAATAACTTTCTGTGTATAAATTATTCCTAAAAAAAAAATTCTGTTTATATAAAAAAAATCAGTAGATGAAAAATTTTCAAAATGTTTTTGTATATTCTGTTGTAAGAATTTATTCCTGTTATTGAGATACACTCTGGATTCTTTACATTATGAAAAAAAAAAAACTTTGTCTATTTTGAATTGCCGAAGCTAAGGCAATTTTAGTTTCTCTTACTCTGCTTTTTTCTAGTAGTTAAAGTACTACATGGTTTAAGTTAAATAAAAGAATTCTGTATGCACGTTTTTGCCTCTGATTTTGTTTCCCACACTTCTGGAAGCATCGTCACACTTCTGTGGCAGGGAAGCAAAGCTCCGTGTGGCATGTGTGTTCACACATGTCGCTTGGAAGTGTTCTGCGCGAGGGCACTGCCTGATTTCTGACAGCTGAACCTTCTCAGTATGCAAATTACTGGAGAAGACAGGGAAGCTATTCTGTTTCTCATTCCATTAAATCAGCTGGAAGAAAAATTTGAATACATAAAATACAGAAGTCTGTACTTCATTTTTGACTGATTTGTAGATTTTTTTCTGTACCTTTTACTGACAAAAGTCAGGCTGAGACAGGTTTGATCTATGTGACTCTGAGGCAGAGGACTTAGAATTCTTCACATTTCCATGTCCTTGGTACTTCATAGCTCACGTGCCTGCCTCAGAGTGCCGGCGAGAACCAAGTGAGCCACACATGAGGTCTCGACATTAGCTTTGTCATGGGGAAATGGTTACAGTAGGAAGAGGGAATAAGCTATAAATGTTCTACAATCAGGCCATAGACATGAACACAACATCAGGAGGAAAAGCTGGTCATTTCACTCAACTCTGATCATGGAAATTATTCTCCAGTAACAAAATCAGGCCATTAGACAAAGAGCTAAATAGCAAGGTGGAGGCAGTGAATATAACTCTCATGGTCTAAGACCTAGTGAGTCTCACAAGTATTTGGAACTAAAAGCAAAACACTTTAAGGAGAGGACTCTCAAGCCTGGTGTTGCCCCAGGGTTTTTGCTCACCATTGTCCTGAGTGCCCAGTGCTCAGGGGACCTTCACTACTAGGTGACTGACAGCTGGAGGAGGTCTCATTTCCAGGGCTAGGATGTCCAGCGTGGCCCTCCCCCTTTCCTGCATGGTTGATGCTGCACTTGCTGGTTGCCGAGGTGCACTCTGCACTTGGCCTGCGCCGCCAGAAGCAGCAGTGACTTCTTAAGACTACAAACCAGGAGGGCTATTTCTGTTTTTCCCTCCATCCCAGGTCCAGCTACGAGTCCATACTCAGGTGTGTATTTAGTGTTCTGTGGAGGACTTCCATATCCATTTTCTCATCAGAAGTTCACAATCACCCTGCAAAAGAAGAGTTTTTATTACTGTTTTATAGATGAACAAACAGAGACATGCCCACAATGGCCCTGGCTCTTCAGGATTCAGCCTTGTATGATGTGATTGTCAAACTATTCCGACTGCCACAACTAAACAGCCCCAGTGTGTATCAACGAGATGCCAGGCCATTCACATGGGCCGGGATGTGAATGGGCCCTCCAGGGTTTTCCCTGGAGAACTGCAGAGGCCACAGACGGGAAAATGGTGGAAAGTTCATCAAAGGGAAGCTCTGTGCCTTCCAACTGGATAATATTTACAAGTTTAAAAGGTGTGTATGGCATGGTGCCAAGCAATCTGAAATACACTGGAGCCTGGACCTGAAGACCTGCTGCTTGCCTGGGTCCTGGGACAGGGGGTTGGAATGATGGGGGTTGAGGGCTCTGGGCAGCAGCTGTTTGCCCAGAAGTGCAGAAGGATTTTCATATTAACAACCATGCAGCTGGACCTACGTGTGTGGGCCAGCGCCATCCCACCCCACCTGCTGGCTTTGATCAGCCACAGAGTGACTTTGCTCTGTTTTATGTCAAATGATCTAGGTATATTTGCAAAGGGGGTCCTGTAAAGTCTGTTCCAAATGTAGAAGTGTGCTGGACAGCTAGTGGCCAAACAGGCAAGTTTGTCCCATTTCTTCAATATTAAGCTGCAAATGCTTTTTCTTAACAGTGAATGAATCAGCATTGACTATGATTTGTTTAAGTGGAAAATGGTAGTTGTGAGCACATGTGCATAACAAGAAATTTCCCAGAGCTTAGCTACCTTCACTCACTTCCACAAAAAAAAAAAAAAAGAATGTTACTAACGGGGGGCCCAGTGGAAAGTTGCTCCCAGTGGAAAGTTGCTCCCAGAAAACACTGAATAAGTAGAACTTTGATGTGAGCAGCTTGGCACAGGACCCAGTGTGATGTTGTAAAAGCAGAACAAAAGAAACACAAGGGAGATTCTGTTTTTAAAAGTTAGGGATAATATTAACCATGAAAAGAAGCTAAGCTCAGCTATTAACCTGTGCTTTAAGACTAAACACTACTGGTGGGAATGTGAAATGGAGCAGCCACTGTCTGTGGAAAAAAACACTATGGCGGTTCCTGAAAAAGTTAAACGGAATTACCATTTGATCCAGCAATTCACCTCTAGGTATATACACACAGAATTGAAATCAGGGACTTAAACGGATATTTGCACTCCACTGTTCATAGCAGCAATTTTTCACAATAGCCAAAGGCAACCTAAGTGTCTATCTACAGCTGAATGGATAAACAAAATGTGGTAGATACATACAATGGGATATTATTCAGCCTTAAAAAAGAATAAAATCCCAACAAATGCTACAACATGGATGAAGTTTAAGGACATTATGCTAAGTGAAATAAGACAAAAGGACAAATACTGTATGCTTCCATTTAAATTAGATACCTAGAGCAATCAAATTCATAGAGATGAAGAGTATAGTGTAGTTGCCAAGGGCTGAGGCAGGTGGGGCGAGAATATATAGTTATTGTTTGATGGGTACAGAGTTTCAGTTTCGGATCATGAGAAAGCTCTGGAGATGGATCGTGGCGATGGTTGTACAACAATGTAAATGTACTAAATGCCACTGAACTGAACACTTAAAAATTGTTAAAATTAGTAGCAAGAGAGTAAAAACCATAGAGAAACCAAACACTGGAGACTCAGTGGCTCAGAAGCTGCTCACAGGACCTGGATGCAGAAGCTTGGAGGCCAGGAATGGGGTACTGGGAGCGGTACACCTGTGTTTCCATGGGCAAAACAGATCTGTGTTCCCAGCAATCGAGCAAGATCACACAGATCCTCTGGGTAGTCTTTTAGAAGAAAAAAAAATTACTAGGATTTCACTATATTGTCATAAAAACCATAACTGAAGCTAGTTAATCCTTTGTGAAATGTCTGCCTTTCAGAGTGTCCTTCTTCTGACAATAAAACGACCCTTTGTGATTTTGTTGGGCTAACTCAGAATTTTTTTCCTCTGCATAAACTGTTTATAAGCAATTTTTTTTAAAGCCTCTCAAAGCACAGTTGAACTCACACACAGGATTAAAACATTTAATTTTCCCTAAAGGAGCAATCCCCCAATTGGTTCCCTTTGGCTGGAATCACTGTGGTTGAGTTTTCTGCAAACCAGGCTTTGAGTTTGGGCTTTCCCACTCTCCTCCAGCATTTCCTGGATGATGACTTGCAAGGCTTTTCCTAGCAGGCTGGCCGGGAGCCAATGCGATATTTGAGGGACATGGATGAGTGCAGCGCACCCATTTCCGTGATGCAGAGACAGGTAGCAAGTGTAATCACAGACGTATCTGCAACCACAAAAATGCCATGTTACTTCTTAGACCAGCCTCTAACTTCGGTGAAATGTAAGCAGAAGTGGCAGTGCAACATCCACAAAGCATCCACCCGGGGAGTTTTGTTCTTCTGCCTCAAAAAGAACATGGTTCTGAAAATGAGTTAGAGAGAGATTGGCTGTTGGTCTCATGGTCTCATAACCAGCAAGTGGCCAAGACAGAAAGGGACCACATTTTCAACCAACTAGTCCAAAACACCTTTAGCACAGTGAATCCTCTCATTCATTGAGTCAGTCGTTTATTCATTCCTTGGGGGGAGGAGAAACTGCTTACTGGGGGTTGGAGTTTAGAGAAACAAAGGTAAGTTAATCTTTATCTGGGGCTAAATCAGCATAGTTAACTCACAACTTTGCTCCCCCCAAAATAAAAACAAGCATCCACAAAATGTTAGTGGCTCTCAAAACTTTCCTTCCCATCTTTTCTCCTACATCAACGCACCAAAGGCTGTGTTTGGGGTGGGGGGAGGGGGTGTAAGCAACCGTGCTGGTCTGCAGGATGGCAAAGAGGGGCAACTCGGGGGTTGCTCCGCGTGACCACGTTGCCAGATGGATGTTACAGGATGGCCTCTTAAGGGGAGAGAGGGGACACTGAAGGCCATTCTTTGTCCCCTACCTGCTCAGTGCTGCCACACCCACAGAACATACCTGCCCACATCTTGGGAAAAGGCCACCTCGACATCCTCGATGGCGACGCGCTTGCACACAGCCTTCACGCTGACGCTTGATACGATCACTTCCGGGCCACCAGGTAGGCACATGCCACCCTCTGGCCAGAAGCCCTGGATGTCGGTGTCCCAGTAGCCTCGATTCTTGCCACATTGTTCCAGAAAGACCGCCTTGGTGGAGGCATCCACACCCACATGCATGGCGAGCTGTGTGAACACACAATGGATAGATCACAGGAAACCGAGGCTTGCTCTGGCCACCAAAGGAACAGAAGCTGTGGGAGAGTCTGGCTACAGGATGCAAAACATCTCAAACATCAAATCTACCAGGAAACCCAAGATCCCTTGCCTATGTCTCCTAATTAGAATTGCTGGAAGGAAAGGCAGCTGGGTTCTTTTAGCTGAATAGAAACCCACCTTGTACTTGCATTTAAATACTTTAATATTTTAAAATATGCTTACAAGTTAGTGTATTCTTTTATCTTGAGCGGGTGGGAGTGGTGGCAGGTGGCAAGCTAGTGTCTAAAAGTACCACAGGAGAAGCTTAAAGTTTTGCTGGAATCATACTTTTTTTTAAATGAAACTTTAATAAAGGAAGTTAGTACTAGTCCAATAAAATCTTGTTATAATTTATTTGAGCCAGTTATTCTTCCTGGTGCATATTTATCAAAACATTTGAGGCATTTTCTTAATGGCTTAGTGGTATACGTTTTATTAAACTCATCATCTGGTCTTTGTTTTTTGGTTTTGGGGGGTGGGGGAGGTGTTTGTACCATTTTTTTTTTTAAATGACCGGTAAGGGGATCTTAACCCTTGACTTGGTGTTGTCAGCACCACGCTCTCCCAAGTGAGCTGACCCGCCATCCCTATACAGGAATCTGAACTCGTAGCCTTGGTGTTATTAGCACCACATTCTCCCAAGTGAGCCACGGGCTGGCCCTTGTACTGTTTTTTAAATAGAGTATGTTCAGATAAAATAGGCTGGTGCTATGAAAATATGCTGTCTCCTAGTGGGCCACCCTCCCAATTGCTGTCCTGGGCCCAGGAGGTCCTTGCCTCACATTCCACCTCACAACCAACCTGGCTTAGAATGAGCATACATAGGACCTAACCCAACCTCTTAAATGAAAACTTTGAGTCCTTTCTGGGGATACTTCCATTTCTTCTCTCGCTGTGTCTCTATGTCTCTCTCCAGATTTTCTGTTAAGACTGGCATACTTCAGCTTAAACTTTTACAAACAGACCCAGAACCTCACAAAATCGGCTGGGACCTTGCATTGGTCTGACATGGGGGGAGGGTGGAATTCAGCCATCAGCCTTAGAATCGGAGTCCTGGGAGTTCACAGGCTCTGCATGCCACCACCTCATCAGCCTCCCGACCTGCTGCCTCTCTGGCTGTCATTGCGGTTGAAGATCTTCCCAGATTCTGGTGACCCTCTGCTTTGCCTCCCTGTAAGCCACAGGCAGCTGAAGAATCCACAACTCCACCTCCATGTCAATCCCCAGACCCAGCTTGGAGAGCTCCTGCAGAAAGAAGCAGGCTGACTTGCCTTAGTTGATGGGGGGCAGAGGGGATCCCTGAAAACCCTGGGGCCCACTTTCAGGGTCTTCTGTGGGCCTAGACCCTGTTCTTAAGGAGCTCACACAATGGCAAGGGGTCAGTTCCTGCCCCGAGTGGCAAATGCCCCACACAGTTGCAGCTGTCAGGGTACAGCACCATATAAAGGCACAACAGACCCAGGCCGTGTTTACGGAGGGGATGCAGGTGAGTTCTATGGCTATGTCGGGGTGAGCCAGATGAAGAAGCTGGGGCAGGCCTGCCAGGCCCAGGCGGAGGAAGCTGCAGAGGCAGAGGGCACAAGAGCCTGGGGCCTTTGGGGAGTTCGGTGTGACCTGGTGCTCTTGGCAGGGCTGAAGGCTGTTTCTGTGTCCTTATGTTGCAAGAAAGGATGTTAAGAACCACTGGACTCTAATCAGAGCATGAAAGGCCTGAAGAGTCCCCACATATTTTGCCAAGTAACCCACCACCATGACCACCACCACCAGTGGAATACCAGGGAGCCCTGCACGTGGGGAAGGATGGGAACAGAAGCTGGAGATGGCTGTGCAGCCAGACTGAGTGCTTCGTTAGTTCTGGACGTTATCCTCAGGGCAACAGGGAGCCATGGAAGGATGTGCATAAGGAGCTAATGAGTTAGAGCTGCCTCCTAAGGAAATGGAGAAGGAGTTAGAGGTGAGCTGGGGGTATCATGGGGTTGAGTTTGGACCTGCCAAATTTGAAGTACCCAATGGAGGCTGGCCTCTGAGGTCTGTGTGTCCAGAGCTCACAGAGAGGCTTTTGGGGGCACACTGGCATGTCAGGGGCAGCACTGGGGGTGAGGGGAGGTCTGCAGAGAGAGAGCAGAGTGAGCCGGGAGAGGAGGGGAAGGCTGTGGAGAAACCCGAGTCAGGGAGCACCCTGAAGGGCAGGAGAAACAGTCAACAGTTTGGAAGGAAGAAACCCAGGAGAGCAAGATCTTAGAGGCGTGCATTTCACTGTTGGTAAAAGTTAAATCAGGAACACAAAGGCCGTCCCCAAAAGCCCAGCCCTTTCTTGGTGCCAGCAGCTGTGCTTGCCACCAAGATGGTTTTCGACTAGCGCGCCCAATCTTCCTGGCATTTCAGGGCCTCCTGGAGTATGTGTCCCTCGATGCACGGTGGCCAAGCTAGGCTGCATGGCCTGCCCAAAGATCGCAGACAGGAGGTTCCAGGCCACCACTCTAGCTTCAGGGGGACAGGTCTACCCGGTGCCTCAGAGACACACGGGATGACACGCCAGACGTAGGTCTGTCTGTGGGGCTCTTATCGTGCAGCAGCATGTCTCTTCTGGCCAATTGCTGGTGTCTCAGGTCTGTCCCGGGCCAGCTCAGCCTTCCCGAGGGGCTCTGCTCCGTCCTCCAGACACCTGCTGAGTTCCCTCGACCAGCTCAAGCTTTGTTCTCTTCCAGAAGGAAGTGCCAAGACAACGTCCCCACTGGGGCCTTGTGTGGGGATCACTGGCCTGACTCTGATGCAGGATGGCAGGAGGGAGGACCCGGTCACGCAGGGCCCCAGAAGGAGGAGACAGGCTTCCAGGTGGACTTGCTGAGGACCAGACAGGCCCCGGGGCTTCCAGGCAAGCCCGTGTTAGAGTCCTGTGGCACCATCTTGGGCCTCCTGCCCTGAGGGGCACATGAGGCTGGGCGCCAAGGCGGCACCGTTCAGGGAGGGGGTCTGGAAGCCATCACGCCGTGTCCCATTAAGCTCCGCCATGAGGCTAAGAGGGTTTGGCCCCGTCTCAGAACCCAACCTCCTGTGAAGAACTACTTTCTTCCACTCGGCGGTGCTGTCCTGGGCTCTCTGGCCTGGCCCCGAGCAAAGGCCACAGCGGAGCCACAGAACCGAATGGAATTGCCCAGGAATCTGCCTTCAGGGCTGCACCCTGCAGACCTGCCCTAGTTGGGCTGCAGTGGAATAAAAAATGAATTATGCTCGATAAGGCTGCAAACAAGCAGCACCCACGGACGGAGACCCGCAGCGCGAGCCGTGGCCGGTGGTGTCGCCTCCCAGCAGAGGCCACCAAGGCAAAGGCCACCCGGGCCGAGGCCACCCGGGCCCTCTCCTCCCCTGCCGTGGCTTTCCGTCCTGCCGCAGCCCTGAGAGAGGAGCAGAGCGGTGCCATGGTCGTGGGCCGGGCTGGGGACCCGCGTGCCACTGTCCCCCTGTCCCACTGTCCCTCGGCCGCTGCCAGGCGCAGGCGTGGCGCTCGCTGGGGGGCTCGCACGGCCGGTCGTACCGTCC